CAACTATGACAACCTGAAAAGATCCCCCCTACCTTTACATAGTCGGCACAGACTTTCCCCGTTCTATCTGTGACAATGGGTTTTCCACCAATCCTCTGGCTTCAGTGAACCTGCTCCAATAATGACACTTTGCTCTCCAGAGGAAATATCCCTCATCTGCCTACTAGTCACTGGATTTAACTGCTCCATTCCTGGTTCATTTTTGTTTGAGCCCTTCCCTGTTTTCTCAAATAAAGGAAAGAGTGCTGTTGTCCTGAGTTTGCATCAAAGGAAGCAATTTCTATGAGTGGGATCAGAGGGGTAATTTTAACTGGGATCCAGACTCGGATCATGCCTAAAATCAGTCTGAGGCCTGGACATGACATAAGCTCTAAGCCTTATCTGAACGTAAAGCAGCATCCTGGGAAAGAAGCAGAGTTAACCTTTCAACATCAGAACTGAATAGTAAAGAAAGAGTTTTAAAGCTAGCAGAAGTGAGGAGGGAGCATGAAAAACAAAGGTGATCTGTGATATAGTGGTAGTAATTTGCACTGGCCTCCAATCTATCAAAACGTGAGCATTCAGAAGTCAGTAGCCATTCGCCTGTCCCAGGTTTTCAACATGAGGATCTCTAGCTTTGCTGGAACCAGTAATGTAGCAGATCTGAAGAGTAGTGGAGTTCATAAACTTTGTTTTAAGAAAAGCACAATGGCTTGAAACTTAGTTTAAAAAAGAATTCAATTCAATTATTATGATTGGAATTCAATTAATCATCTTTATTAGATTTGACACTTTAGGCTGAAATGTGATTTTACAGCAGTATCTACAGTGTTGGTTTGTTATTGATAAACAAATTGAAAGAATAATTGCAAAATCTTTTAATGTAGGGTTAAGGGAGTGAAGAAGGGGTTTAACAGTTAATGCAGAAAGAGTTTTGTGCACGTTCTAGGACATGGGAGTGAACAGGTTCCCAGAATCGCTAAGCAACTGTCTGATTTCCAGAATCTCTGGCTCCAAGACATTGAGATGTTGGCAGTTTTATGCACGGGTGGGGAATGTATATTAGTTCCCCTCGCCATTGCAATAGTCAGCTACCTGACCTAAAAGAAAGCTTGTCCCACAGCAGGTGGGTGGGAAGGTTGTGCTATGTGAATAAGCTGAAAGTGAGAATCCTAAACTGTAGGAAAAGGAAGTCCCATCATCGAAAGCTGTCAGCCAGTTGGATTGATAGGCAACTCTAGGAGTCTCAGCAGCGCCAGAACTCAGTAGTGGAAACTACTGGGACTGCAGGCAGGCCCATGGAGAACTTTGCTGAACCCCAGAGTCCCAAGACCTTTAGAGTGGAGTGTGACAGGATTGGACAACTTAGGAAGAGCAGCCAGTGGGTATGCGTGGGGAGGGTTTTGGAAGCCAGGTGACCAGGAGCAAAGGTGGGGTAACATTTTGGGGAGTGCCCCCCATGAACAAAAGACACCCCAAATACTACGTCCACCCCCCATACATTCTTTGCTGCCCTTCCATAAAAAATGTTTTCGAATGCATCCTACCTGCAAATGTAACTCGAGCATTATGATAAGAGACCTGGAAGATATATTTATCAGGAGATGTTGAACACAGAATCATACAGTGCAGAAGAGATCCTTCATACCATGGGGTTCTTTTCTTTACAAAGAGAAGACTGAGGGGAAACCAAATAAAGTTATGATAGAACTCAATGGATAGATGTAGAGCAGATGTTTCCATTTGTGGGGAGACCAGAGCTAGGGGCCATAAGTATAAGATAGTTACCACTAAGTCCGGTAGGGAATCCAGGAGAAACATCTTTACACAAATAGTGCTGAAAATGTGAACGTTTCTGCTGTAAGGAATATTTAAGGCAAATGTCCTTGATGCATTTAAGGGGAAAACATGATAAACCCATGAGAGAGAAAGGAGTGGAAGAATATGCTGACATGGTTAGATGAAGAAGGACGGAAGGAGACTCATGTGGAGCATAAACATTAGCTCAGATTAGTAGTGCCAAATAGTCTGCCTCTGTGCTATGTCTTCTATGTAATTTCACCCAGGATAGGCTAGTGCGACTGAGGCCATGCACGGGGAGATTTGTAACTACAAAGGAGATAGAGGAATGGGTGAAAATATGCCACATTTGAAGCTCAGTCTGAGGAAGAGGGTGCCTATGGATTGAGACCCATGAGTTCTTGTCTGAAAATATAGTTGTCCAAGAAACACTGCAATTCATTGCAGGCTCTCAGATCAGGTATCCCTGGAAGTGTAACGTGATTCTTGAGTCTTGTCACAATCATACAGTTATAATATTATATATTTTGTAAAGAAAGCTAAATTGTCTTTAAAATAGACACGAGGAGTTTTTACAAAATGGCTCCCCGAAGTGATATGACTTCTCTTAGTGGATGCAACTGCATCCAGAAACAAACAATAGCAGACTGTGTTATCTCAAAAGTCAGTGACAAGGGACTATTAAATAATTTATGGTGTCCAAGACTGACCATTGAACCCTCAAAATGTGTGAAGACTCAAAGCTTCTGTATAGGTGAGCAGGTGACACAAAATACATGACCAGAAATTCTAACATAACTGACTTTGACTTGTGGAGCAACGATCCTTCAGAGTTAACATGTACATTTGCTTCATTATGATAAAAAGCTGCTGGGAACAGCCACCTAAAGGAGGATCACCTAAACACCGCAAGAGGGAAAACTTCAAACAACTGCTTCTCGACAGAGACACAGAGAAGATGTAATGATTGTAACAAGATTAGCCAGGTGGACCTCATAGAAAATGAGTTCTCTGATTGGGGCTGTTAATATCAGAGAGCCCTGGCTGACAGATAAGAACAGGAATGTCAGAGGTTCTGCTCATTCTGAGAGCTGGCTCTGAGGAAGCCGGACCAGTGTCACGTAGCATGCTCGTATAAATAAAGAGTGACTTGGTGACAGGATTCTGGCCTCTGTGGAGTTATTTCAGAACGCATCCAGAACAAAAAGCCAGTTAAAGGGACTGCTGTAGTGAACCACACTACCAGGAGCCATGACCCATAGTGCCATTGAAGCAAAATAAAGCAGCGTTCATTCATTCCCAGAACCTGTTCTAGGTACGGAGTCCACCTCTAAGAACAACCTCCAACTATTCAACTATGGAAGCCATCATTGATTTTGAATCAGATTGTAGACTGATTCCTGGGATGGCAGGACTGACATATGAAGTGGATTGTTTAGAGCTTGTTTAAGGCTAAAGGGACCAAAGGTTATGGGGAGAAGGCAGGGACAGGGGTTGGATGATCAGCCATGATCATGTTGAATAGTGGAGCAGGCTCGCAGGGCTGAATGGCCTACTCCTGTTACTGTTGACTGTGTTTCTAACCTACTTCAAGATTCATGGTGGCTCAGTGGTTAGTACTGCTACCTCACAGTGCCAGGGACCTGGGTTCAATTCCACCCTCGGGTGACTGTGTGGAGTTTGCACATTCTCCCTGTGTCTGCGTGGGTTTCCTCCGGGTGCTCCAGTTTCCTCCCACAGTCCAAAGATGTGCAGGCTAGGTGGTTTGGCCATGCTAAATTGCCTGTAGTGGTTAGGTGGGTTATAGGGGGATGGGTATGGGTGGGATGCTCCAAATGTCAGTGTGGACTTGTTGGGCCGAAGGGCCAACTGTTTCCACACTGTAAGGATTCTATGAAATGAAATTCAACCTCTTCATTTCTAAAAGAAAATCATAAAGTAAGCTGGGCATGCAGTGAGTCTATTCTCATTTTCTTCATCGACATAACTTATATCCTTACTTAAGTTTTTGTCTGCATTTTAACCAGTAACATTACCACTTTTCAACTTATGTAATGTTGATTAGCAGTTGTGTAACAAACAAACATGGGTGGGTATGTCAAGCACATATTTTACCTGCCAACTTTCAATGATACATATTGTGTGTCAGACTATGCCTGCAAATTTATTGCACTGAAGCAAAACGTACCAGCTAATGAACATACAAATTTGCAATAAATTGTTTAAAAACTGGGTTGATTACAAAGCAGTAGTCACATTTTGAATGATGGTTAGAAACCTCGAGTTCCCTTCAGGCTCCATGAGATTGTAGACCCTCTAAAACGATTACTGTCTATCATCAGACCTACATACTTTTTAGGCATAAATGGTACAGCAGCTTCAGGTAAAGAGCAGACGTACAGTTAAATGTTAATGTCCAAAAGTAATTATTGGAGTTGCATTGCCCCATTGTTTGCTTCACAACATTGGTCTTTTGCCTTCATGGAGTTGCTGTATTTTCTGTGATAGGTATTAACTAAATGTCCCATAGGAAGTTACATCTTATCATTTAAAGTGTAATTTCATTTTTAACAACTTAATTGTTAATTACTCCTACTCAACCTGTCTGGCAAGGATGACTAATTAATGACAGCGTGGAATATTGTTTCATTAAATACTCATTTTTATTTGAGATTTTAAAAATACCAAACTTATTTTTTTTTAAATGATGCTTGTTCATTCTGTTTCTTCCTTACTCTCTTGGTCCAATCTTGCTTTTCTTCTGTTTTTTTTTCTCTTTCTTTGCCTGATTTAATATTGAATTCACTCCCCTTTGAGTTTTCACTCTCAATACACACTGTTTATTTCACAACCCTTCAGTCTGATTGGTTAAGTTGGTATATAATTAGTTGCTCTGTTCATAAAGATCCCAAATGCCCTGTTTCCCTCACTCTCAGCTCATGCATTTTAATAATTCTGTGGGTAAATATTTTTGCGATGAAGGGTGCAGGAGAATGTTGAACTCATAGCAAATGCTATTAGACGAGCTGTAACAGTAAAATCTTGCTCATCCTCAATTTAACATGCATAGATATATGCTTCATGCCTGCAACAGGTACAGTACACAGAGAGCTTGTGAGCTTTGAAATATCCAAGTATAAAATTGTTATGTTTTCGAGCATATGTCAGTATTATTGCTTGGCATAAAATTACTTACAAGCCTTTGTTTACTTCAGATTACATCTGATGGCAGTTTAGAATTGGACCTATCTTCTGTGTACAGAAATGGTAGTAAGTCAGAAACTGATTTGACAAAAATTGGTGAGTATTTCAGTTTTGCCAAGATATGCTAGAACATACTTTAAAAGTACAGTTTTTAAATCTTACAACATAAGAAAATCTACAATAAACGTAATGTTGTTCCCACAGAAGAGTCAACACTGGCCAGAAACAAGGTAATTATTTTCTTTGATTTATGCTATATCTGATGAATACTATTAAATAAATTAGGGGCAGAGGCTTTTGCTGTGGCGGTGAATTGTGACTGCTTTTAGCTTCCATTCTGACCCATCTTATTTCCAGAAGTTTGTTTTGAAGTGTTGGTACTTACGGGACAGTTCTTTCACTTATTAAATATAAAGAGTTTGTCCAGGAAACATCCAGCACAGAGGAAGATCAGGTTAAAGGCAGCATGGGGTGGGTTATTGATCACTCATTAAGACAGTACACTACATCTTTCATTGTTAATTCATAAGACTGTGATCCTCCCCCCTCAGCTTTCCTCTAAGAACCTTTCCTGGGAAATCCTCTCTTCCAAAGAGAAGAAGAGAAAAATATGCCCACATCCTCAGATTGTTTCTGATCATTTTCACACCTGTTCTCCTGCAGATATTGAATCATTGCTGTAATGCACTTCTCAGGTATCTTGGCCAAGTAGCTTTATTATTCATGCATGAGTCTAGCTAATCAACACTAGTCTTGTTTGAGCATGGGAGGTTCACAGCTAGATCCTTTCTCACCTAATCTGTAGTGATACACTGGGCTCGAATTATAATTGTGATTTGAAACCCAGTCAACTTTTTCCTCCCTTAACATAGAGGCACCGCTGAAAATTATAGTGGCATCCTAGGACCAGTCATCTTCAATGTTTCTTTAATGATTTTGCCTCTATTATAATGCCTGAAGCAGAGACATTTGCTGATGATTGCATTCGGTTCAGTACCATTCATGTCTCTCAGATCCAAGGAAAATATTAATTTTAGATGTTAATAGCAGAATATAGGTCAGTTTTGCTGAAAGCAAAACCAGAAACTTGGGTGATGGCTTTTAAGGGCAGGAGCCAAACAACATGGAGGAAACAAAATGGAGGACAGAATTCCTACTATCTCTGGAGGACAGAGTTCATGGTTTGAATTTATTGAACACACTGTTGAGTCCGAAAGCCGTGAAGTACTTAAATGGAAAATGCGCTGCTATTGCTTTAGCTTGCATTGGAATCACTATGACAAAAATAATGAATATAACAGCAAGGTGGTGTGTTAAAATGGCAAACAACCAGAAGACCTGGGCCACACTTGCAGGTTGAGTGGAGGAGTTCCTTAAAGCAGTCACCTAGTCTATGTTTGTTCTCCCCATTGTTGAAGAGACAGCACTGTGAGCAGTGAATACAGTAGACAAAATTGAAATAAGTACAAGCAAAACACTGCTTCATCTGAAAGAGGTGTTTGGGCTTTGGACAGTGAAGAAGGCAGAGGTAAAAGGGCAAGTGTTACACTTCCTGCTATTGCATAGGAAAATGCAATAGGAGGTGTGATCAGGTGTTGGAGATGGTAGATCAGTGAATGACAGTGTCACCAGAGGAATGGCTGCTTAGGAATGCTGACAGTTGAGGGGGAAGGGAAAGATGTATTTGGTGACAGCATCATGCTGGAGTTGGGGGAAATGGGCAGAAGATGATCCTTTGAATACAGAGGCTGGTGGGATGGTGGAACGTGAGAACAAGGGAAACCATATAGCAGTTCTGAGATTAGAGCAGAAATGCAACAAAAATGCAGACTTCGATTGAGAGCGCTGTCCACCATAGTGGAGAGAATCCTCAGTCAAGAAAAAAAGGAAGACATTTTGGAATTACCATTGTAGAAGGTGGCAAAAGCAGAACAGAATTAGACAGAGTTAGAGAAATTGGGAAAATGAAATGCAGTCCTTACAGGAAATAGAGTGTAGTTGAGGTAACTATTGGAGTCAGTAATGATTAGTAGATAGCCTAACTCTGGAAGTGGACAGAGAGAAGTTGAAGAAGGGAAGTGAAAAGTCAGAGCTGGATCGGATGACAATGATAGAAGGTAGAAATTGATTAATTTTTCCAGTTCTGGATGAGAGCAGGAAGTGTCACCAATATTATCAGTGATACATTGGGAAAAGAGTTGTGGGAGGGAGCCGAAGGAACACTGGAACAAGGAATATTCCAAAAGTCCCACAGAAAGACAGGCATAACTAGGGCCGATGTGGGTGCCCATAACCATGCCTTTAATTTGGAGGAAGTGAAACAAAGGGGAAATTGTTTAATGAGAGAGGAAGCTCGGTTGGGTGGAGGAGGATGGTGGTGGTTGGGGACTATTTGGGCCTCCATTCAAGAAAGAAGCAGAGAGCCCATAGACCATACAGGTAGGGGATAGGGTTATAGAAGGATTCAACATCCATAGTGAGGATAATGCTGCTAGGGTCCAAAACCAACATCCTGGGCTGGACAGCAGGAAGTAATAATGTGCCCCACTTTGCAATGACTAATTCTAGCAAGAGCAAGTCTAATCATGTTTTGTTGACTTGCAGTACTATTACTATTTGCTGAATTCCTCACCATCAGCATCCAGAGAATTATGAGGATTAACCAGCAATGTAAATGGATCAGTGATATAAATGCAAGGTTATAAGAGCAGATCAGAGGCTCTGAAATCTGTGGTGTGTAACTCACCTCCTAACTTTCCAAAGCCAAACTGTTATTTATAAGGGAAAGCGTAATGGAATATCTCCTCTTGCCTGAAAGAGTGCAGTTCCAGCAGGATCCAGGAAGCTCAAAGTCAACAGGACAAAGCAGCCCACTTGATTGGCACCCTATCCATCACCTCCACCATTCACTCCGTCCACCATTAATGGACAGTGGCAGAAGTATGTGCTATCCCCATGATAAGTTGCTGCACTCACCAAGGTTCCTTCAACGACGTTCAAGCCTGCAACTTCTACGACCTAGAAGGACAAGGGCAGCAGATGCATGGGAGCACTGCTTACTGTAAGTTCCCCTTCAACCCACACCATTTTGAACTGGAACTATATTGCTGTTCCTTCACAACCACTGGGTCAAAATTGTAGAGCTCCCTCTCAAACAGCACTGTAGATGGAGTTACATCATATGACAGTGCAGTGGTTCAAGAAGCCAGTTCACCACTACCTTTTCGAGGAAGTTAGGTATGGGCAACAAATATTGGCCCAGATGGAAACATCCACATCTCATGAATGAATGAAAAAATTCAGCACAGAACAGAGAACAAATTTCGTCACTTTTTATACAGCCGCTACCTTAACCAGCTCGGCTATATGGTAGCTCTTTTTTTTATGTACTTTTGTTACTTAATTTGCTTAGTTGTATCATTTTATTGAACTAGACTGATCAAGCCACTCAGTTGTATCAATACTGTGACCAAAAATAACAAGAGTAAAATAGAACAAACTACTCCGCTGTGACCCAGGAACTCTCTACCCAACAATGCTGTGGAAACATCCCGACCATACACAATACAGCAGCTCAAAGCCAAAAGCCACTAGCTGCTTCTCAGGGCAACTCATGGTAGGTGAAAAGTACCAGCAACATCCATATCCCAAGGTGGAAATATGCAAAAAGAATAAAGACGTTGTTTTAAAAATACAGAGTTACGTGATCTGGATGGATTTCTGCAGTGATCAATTGGAAATGCTCACCATCAGCAGTGCAGCTGGAATATATGATTCCAGTACTGGGTAGAGGAGATTCAAAGGAGAACCTACACAATGGATGATATCTCCATTGCAATTGATTGCCTGTGTCATTCAATTTCAAAATGTCTCTCTTAATGCCTTTAGCGTTGCTGGGTGACAGGGGCACACAGTTATCCCTTGTGTTAGTAAGGGCAGAAACTCAGCACAGCCCAATTTAACACCCAAACAATCAAAAGAAAATGCATTGAGAGTAATTGTTGAGATTATGGAGGCAGATTCTAGGAAAAGTTCAAGTGTGGATTTAGGAATGGCTGTTTACAATTATCTCATTCTGTCTCCACAGAAGCGTCAAATCATTGCTTCTTGATTCCCAACTTCTCACATTAGCATGTGAAGGAACTGCAAATGTCAACTCATGTCTTACCATGATTGTACTGTTTGCAAACAGAATGCATCTAAAAGTCTTCTTGTATTCTCTTCTAGACTAGTATGTTTGAGATTGACGAGCAATTATTTTTGGAAGATGGCATCGTGTGTTGCACCTGTTGTATATATTGTGGAATCATCCAGCTTTAGCTAATGGTAGCTAATAGTGCTGCCACAATCCTCCTTGCTCTACTGGTCCTAGGGCCTGTTTGGTTAACAGTAGTAGGGAATGAACCATTCAACGAAAAGAAGCAGATGTTTTCAGAACAAGATGTAGTGTTTTTTTACATGATTGCAATGTGTACTAGTTACATTGACAAATAGTAAGACTGTCAGGAGCCAGGGTGATACATTCGACCCCGCTGGGATCTCCAGCTGGACTCCTCAATTTTCCTCCCAGCTATTCTAACATTATCATATTGGGTGGAGCCTCATGCAGTTTCCAATATTAACCCTTTCAGAATCATTATCTCACACCACAGTATATTGTCATATCTTCATAAGATTCATCTATTTATGCAAGTCTTCTCTTTTTTTTGGGACAATACAGGGAGTTCCTGATTTACAAACAGTTGAAAGCTTGTACTTATGATGCAATCCCAAACATGGGTGTAATTACAAATGTTTCCTGTAGTTAGGAACAGCTCCTTTATATTGTCCCACATTGTGTTCCGAATTGTGTACAAATCTACTTGCAAACAGAATCCGTTTGCAACCTGGGAACTGCCTATACTGTAAACTAGAAATTATATCGTTGTTGGAAATAAAGGTTGCTTTTACAAAATAACATGCTGCACACAAATCATAGTAATGTTAACAGATTATAATGTCCTATCCACTGGTATATGAAACATAACTTCTCAATATACTTTTTGAATAGTCCAGTATGATTAATAGGAATTATTTAACAACTCATCAGCAATTAATGAGTCACTTAATTAGTGTTAATGTCCCAAAGTTCATCCATTTGTGAATTCCAGAGTTTTATATGAAACATTTGAACGAATATTGTGAATTTCATAATTTGCTTTGTAAAATGACTCAGAGGCAAGTTTTCACAGGTCTTTATAGATGAATAATGTACACACTCCTACTATTCCTCATTCATTCCAAAAATTTTAATCCACTCTTTACACAATGAATTTCAGACCAAATACAGAATATGGAGCTTATTTTATACTGAAATTATATAATGTGTTCTTTCTATAGCAGCACCTTCTACAGTCAACTAAATAAAGGACAGGTCAATAATGGTTGATTCAATTGATTGGTCAGGTTCACCAGAATCATAAAAGTTAGAATGGAGGAAGAGTCCTTTGAAACCATTGTGCTGACTGTTTAATTTGAACTTTCCAAACCTCAATCCTTTATCCTTTCTCCAAATCAGCTAATGTTCTTCCTTCACAAACATCCAGTTCTCTTTTTAAATAAAGCTCTAGTCTCTACTTTGATGGCCAGCTATTGTAAAATATTCTTCCTTCTAATAACTCTCTGTAGAGAAAAATCATTTCTGTCATTCTTAATCCTCCAGTGTTAATCCTGAGTACATGACCATAATTATCAATTTTCCTCCTTAAAACCTTTCATTATTTTGAAGACCTCAATTAAGTGCACATTACTTTATTCTCTTCCCAAGTCCATTGTGGTAATTGTAATCTTTCGTCTATGGTGTTATTCCAGTTAATGTTAATCCTTTCCCAAATCTTGTCCGGAACTGCATGTAATAAGCTAACTGTGTCCTAATCGGTGTCCTGCATAAATATTGCAGCCGGCACTTCAAAGGCGACTCCACAGATTGTGATGCTAGCTGTAGCAATACTCATGGTATCTCTCTATTTAAAACAGCATTATAAACAGCGTAACACACCTGTTATGTTGCCAAGGTTGTCCTGTTTGATATGGATAGCATGTACAAGTGATAGCCTTTGATCCCTGTCTGCTTGCTATCTGACCCAGTCCTCATTTACCACATGGTGTGACTGGCTCATTACTGAATCTGCGTCTTCATTTAAGCTGAAAGGAAGCAAAAGCCAACTTTCGAGTGCTCCCTGCAGACTTGATTATTTTTATAAAGGGAAGTAATTTTGATGGTCATTTTCAGCTGAGTCATGCTAATAATGCTGCGTCATTAGAATGTTACTTTATTCTAACAGATTAAAATTGTAACTCAACAATTTCTTTTATCCTCAGCTTGTATGCTGAGATCATCTTTAGCATGTTGGCATAGAGTTGGTGGGCAGGACATGCTGAAATTAACACAGTCACTTCAGAAGTTCACCAACAAAGTGTGATAAAATCTTTATTCCAAAAGTGATATTGAATTAGAAGGAAGGTCAGAAGAGTTGCCGGTTATCTCTCTGGATACATATACAGGGACTACAGGGAGGGAAATTATCACAGTCACCAGCACCTACTGCTAGGAAGGGAGGTGCTATGGTTTCAGAGAAACTTCACATGTTGACAACGGAATAATCTTGCCAGTTGTGGGGACTGGGATAAGCAATGTGCATTGAAGAGGTTAATGTGGCTGATTGACAAGCCTGATATTGTAGCGATAATTCAAACCATTCAGCCCTGGAAGGATGCTGAGAGGGGACAAGGGACCTGTTTGTTGCATTGCCCTCTGGACTCAGGAAGAGCAGGACTGGGAGGTGTGGGCTCAACTGACTATGGCTCATTTTGCTGAACTATTGGTGGTAGCAAATGCTGTTGACTGATAAACTTACTGCTTCCTGTTGCAAGTCAGTAATTTTAGTGACTTGTAATTTTATCATAATGCGTGCTTTTTACCATGAGCTCACCATCTGTCACTTCTATCTCCTAACTCTTGTTGACTTCTTCTAAATGACTCTTCTAAGTGCACTAACTGGATAGAGAGTTTAACTGGGTGCAATGAGGTTGAGGAGACATTATAACTCCTTCCGCTGCTTATAAGATGGTTCTGTCATTGTCTCTGCACATCTGTGGCTTTCAGTCCACCTTGCCCTGCTGACTTTCAGGCTTATCCTGACAGAGGTGGCCCAGCATAGAGGGTTAGACTTGCATCCTGAATGTGAGTACCGGGAGTCATGAACACTCCTGGCTCTGCCCGTCTGCCCCAGGTGGAGCTATCCACCAAGATAGGATATTCATTTCCAGGGCAGAGGGGGTGTGTGGTTTCAGGATGCAGTCAGGCCAGCTGACTATGGGAACAAAAACAGAAGTTGGTGGAAAAGCTCAGCAGGTCTGGCAGCATCTTTGAAGAAAAAAAATCAGAGTTAACGTTTCGGGTCCAGTGACCCTTCCTCAGAACTTCTTTCCTCAGCTGACTATAGGAATAGGCCGGGTGGGGGGTGGGGTCACAGGAGCTACTGAGCTTGGAGGGAGGCTGTTTAAAAGGCCCACTTTAGTACTGTGGGACTTCATCCCAGTTACAATACAAACAGAAGTGCCCTCACCCTACACAATCCATACACCCCATCCATGTCACCTCATTCCCCTGCCCCTGATGTGACTCCTCACACCTGCCATGTCAATGTTTTCTCCCCCCGTCCCTCAAGCAATCCCCATGACTTCTCATTTCCCGATGGCACTTCCATATTCATTCACCTATTATACTCTATAGATGCAGTGAATCTTGTAATGACATTTGTACATGTTTAAAACAAAGCTTTTAACAGAACACAGTTATTCATTGACGATTTTGCGCGTGTATATAAAGGAAACCTCCTTTCTAATACAGGACACGAATAGAGTCAATCATTCAAACTCTTTAAAATTTCAAGAGCTGAAATTGCAGGTACTTGACATCTCTTAACCTTGTGCAAATAAATATTGCAAAATTTAAAATACAACTAAAAACACTGGAAAAAACTCAGCAAGTCTAGCAGTATCTGTGGAAAGAGAAACAGTCATTATTTTAAGTTCAAGTACTTTTTTCATAATTTTGCAATGTATCGCAAAGTTCAGAATGCCAGAGCTTTCAAGCAAGGGCTCAGGTGTTTTAACAGACTAATGGATGCCTGTGCTGTCAGCTTAATCCCGCTCACACAAAAGTCACAAAATTATTATGCTAGAGAAGAAGGCCATTCAACCCAGGGATAGCAAGAACTGCAGATGCTGGAGTCAGAGTCAATACAGTATGGAGCTGGAGGAACACAGCAGGTCAGGCAGCACCAAAGGAGCAAGAGAGTCGACGTTTCAGGTCAGGACCCTTCATCAGTCTCGTTCCCCAACAGGACTGGCAAAACATCCCACAAGGAGCTTATTCTTAGCTCTGTTCAGGAGCAAACCATACAATTTCCATCTTATCCAGAGCCAGTTCCAATTTCCCAAGAATTGTTTTAAAGTTAATTCTGACTTGCCGGGATGGTTTTTGCTAGGTGCTGGTTCTCGATAGCACCTGGTTTTTCCACGTCATTTATCATTCTGGTTCCTACATTCTGCTTGACAATCTTTGACCCATCCAAACCACTCAATTTGGCCCAAACTGCATCAACCTGATTTAACTCTATCATTCTCTGTTTACAATACTACCACATAATGAAAAATATGCATATTAATACAGTGATGAAAATGTCAAAATTATAGCAGACACCCCTCTAGCACGGATAATAGAAACCTTAATGACTTGTCTATAGTCACCAAAGTGGAACGATTGCAGAAATGATTACATGTCTGTCAGTGCGATCGCTATATGAGGTCAGCAATTCCACCATTTTTGGTTTAAAGTCACATCGCTAAAAGAAGACAAAAAGTTGAAGCTTTCAATATTTTACTCACCAGAACAAGAACACAAGAATCAGACTTTGAAAAAAGGGACATCATTTTATACTGCATGAGAAGAGTGTGCAATTGAAACTAAACTCAAAGCTGTAAACTTTTACAGTGAGCACATTCTGTAAAATGAAAACCTGTTGGTTGGGCAATCGTGTATGATTCCCAACACACTGATCAATATTTGCATTGGGATTCCTAGAGTACCACAGGCTACAAGGAATATCAAAACTCTCCTACGTGATAATGGATACTCTGACCAAATCATCACTTATTGTCTATCACAAAAACTTATGAAAAGGACTATGCTCAATACCTTTAATGTTCTTCAGTCTCTCCTTCTCCTATCCATTTGACACTTTCAAGTATGACCTGTGAGCTCCCACATCATCTGTAAATGTTGCTGACCTTGAGAAAGTCCTGCTTCCTTTCCTCTGATCCTACTTTGTTAGCAATCCACCAGCATCTTTAAGCAAAATACATGGCAGCAACTTAGAGCAGGAGAACCCCTGGGAAACTCCTGGTGTTTGTGTCAGGCATAAATGTTATCATGCTTTCCATATCCAGAACAGGACAATGTAAAACTCATAGATAGCAAGAACTGCAGATGCTGGAGTCAGAGGTAACACAGTGTGGAGCTGGAGTAACACAGCAGGCCAGGTAGCATCAGAGGAGCTGGAAAGTTGACGTTTCGGGTCAGGTCCCTTCAGAAAATTGCTATTTTGGTTTGGCTTTACCTCCAGGATGGTATTTTTGACTGATGTGACAATACTCATAATATAAGAAACTAGGTATGGCTACCATGGTTTTGAAAGATCCACCAGATATTTATTATGCTCACTAATGTGTACATGTATGACATTTGACAGGCACATCAGTGTTTGTGCTAGTATCAGGTTACTTGGTTACAGCAGAAGAGCATTTCTCTATCAGTGTGTCATGCTTTGAGTGATTTGTAGTAAGATGGCGTCTGAGACCTTTACATCCTCAGGTCCCAATCTATGATAGTGATATTATGAGAATATCGGCCTCTTAAAGACAGAACATAACACTTGACTTGATTTTACCGTTATAGCAACCAGTTGCTGAGCCAATTTCAATTCACTGACTTAATTGTATCATGTCAGTAAAGCTTTCTTGTCTGGTTCTTGCTAGGCATCGTATAAAGTGCTAATCCAGCAGCTGGAAGAATTGAGCATGATGAGACACGACAGGAAATTTAGGAAGGTATGAGTCTCATGTTTTGCAGCATTTAGATCTCTTTCAACTGTGGCAAAGTAGATCATGAATCTCATGGTGGTTATTTAAAATACTGTCACCCTGCTAGCATTGTAAAACTGCCTTGCTTCAATAAAATATTTAAGTAAATAGACAAAGATGTATTACGAATTAGAGACTTAAATTATGACCTGAAAACACCTAAATGAAGTTTAATGTCCACCTGGAGATTTATGAATGATTAACTGTAGATCCTGGAGTTGAAGGTTTCATATCTCCCCGGCCACAGTGGACCCCTGCAGTTTGTCTGCTACTAGTTCTTGAAAAGTCACAAGTTATTTGCCATCTCGTAGTGCCAAAGGTCAGAAATTCAAGAACGCCACACAGGAAAGTTTGAGATAGCATATTCCAACGGGTGACACCAGACTTCAGAAAATCCCATCCTGAAGCCCTGCAAGGAGGTCAGCAAGGAAAGAGACAAAAGATCGCAATCCCGATGTAGCCCTCAGGAAGGGGCTCCGTGCCTACATCAGAAAATTGGGTGGACAGACTGGCCAGCAGGTGGTGCACTGTACTGAATTTTGGTGACCCCAAAAGCCTGTACATTTTTGTGAGGTCACTCTGAAGAGCTGCAGTGAGCTGGCCTTTTTGTTCGTACCTCCCTGCCACCCTCAACACAACTGAGACAGTGGCTCCTATGTGAAAAACACACAGGGAATTTTTGCAAATTACTTAAAACTCACTGGCCCTGAGGAGTCCAGGAAAAGTTGTTCCATTGCTAAGCTCATAAACATATGAATTAGGAGTAGGAGTAGGCCACTTAGCCCCTGTAGCCTGTTCCACTGTGCAATAAGATTGTGATTATTCCACATTCCCACCCACCTCCAATAATCTGTCACCCCCTTGTTTATCAAGAATCCATCTACCTCTGTCTTGAAACAAAATGCTTCAAAGGCCTCTATTTCCACCACCTTTTAGATGAGGAGTTTTCAAAGTCTCACTACCCTCTGTGAGAAAGTCCTCCCCACCTCTGTTTTAGGTGGGGCATCCCAGTATCTTTGAACAGTGAGACCTACCTAGCACTTGATTCTCCCACAGGATGAAACATGCGCCCTGTTTACAGTTATGGAAATTTGTGAACCATTTTATAACTTGGTGTGATTACAGGTTTAGCCCCAGAGTTTTTACAGAAATGCTGCTGTTGTTCTTACAGCTTTACAGTCCTGAACCAGATTCTGAAGAAGTGACAAAAAGGAACTCAACAAACCACCACACCAAACAAGTCTCTATCAGCAGGAGCAGGTGAATATTGCCTTCTGTATAATGTCTTGCAGCTAGAAATTATATTTTTAGTAAAGTTTCTAAAACACATATATCAACTACAATATACAAAGTGTGATATTTTCCATCTTTGGAGGAAGCAAGAAGAATCATAGAGTCTGTATAGTGTGGAAAGAGGCCATTCAGCCCATCAAATCTGCACTAACCCTCTGAAGAACATCCCATCCAGAACCAGCCCCCATCCTATCCCTGTAACTCTACGTTTACCATGGCTAACCCACCTAGCCTGCATATCCCTGATCACTCTAGGATAATTTAACATGGCCAGTCCACCTAACCTGTACATCTTTGGACTGTGGGAGGAAACCAGAGCACCCATAGGAACCTCACACAGAAATGGGGAAAATGTGCAAATTCCACACAGACAGTCACCCGCAGGTGGAATCGAACATGGATGCTTGGTGCTGTGAGGCAGCAATGCTAACCACTGAGCCACCGTGCCAAGTTGAGATCCAAGAGGGTGAGCTTGCCTCCTAGACCAACTTGCTGCATTCTTTCTCCCTCTCCTCACATCACTAGGTGCTGGCAAGAAGTTCCACAGGTGACTTCCTCAATCTAGCATCAGTTAAGCTCCCTAAGTGATGAATTAACGGCCATTTAAGATCCTTGACTTGTCACCTCCCCAGTTGTCTGCCTCCATAGTTGGTGTGAAAGGTGGTTAATTTCCCAACTGGGAATCCAGGGTGATATATTTGCTGGGTTGGGGGGTGGGATGCCACCAGTTGCCCCAATCTGGAGGCATACATTGGGTTGGCCATTGATAACTACAGTCCTGCCCTTGCCTCTGACTCCCTTGACCTTCCCTCCCCCATGAATCCCACCCTGTGAGAAGAGTATTAAAAGTTAATTAGCTTCTTGCCACTGGATTCCCCAAGGTGTAGGCCCCAGACAACAGGCTTTAGAGCATAGAACCTTCCAGCATCTGATTGGCCACTAGCTTCTGGTGACCTGAACACCAGTTTTGAGGTTGTGATTGGCCAAGAGACTCACCAGTCAGACCAAGCAGGCTTTGAGGGGTGATTTTCGTGGTGTTCAGTCATCAGCTAAAACACTTAAAAATTGTGGGACAATCCCACTGATAAGCACAACCTTTAACAATGAGGACTGCATCCATCATTCCTTTCTAATGAAGGAACTGACAACAAATCAATTAGCTGTATCGAAATAGTCTTCAGTTCATTTTAAAATATGGTCTAAGACTGTAATATCAGGGTCCAACTCTCCAATATCTCCCATGAAGGTGCCAGTGTTGAGCTGCAGCAGCTGGTAGCACTGTTTATGATGCTGTAGTGGGACTTTTAAATGTTATGTGACATCTGACAACTCGGCAAAAACCAGTTGTTTCATAGTAGTAATTTGCTCCGGTCACCCGCAAGATTAGCAAGTCAGCAGCTGGATTTCCCAACACCAACACCCCAAATCCTGCCAAGTGCCACTATTACTCTGTGGGAAATCAGATGCTGCCCCACCTACAATGACCCAAGTAGCAGCCCCCCCTCAACTTTACTGAGAATCATTTTGCCCATTCTCATCTTCTATCCTTTTCACCTTTCTCTCCTTTTTGCCTGGCGTCTAATCCTCCTTACATCCCATCTTTACCCCCTCCCAAGTTTTCATCCTTCCTTTTCCCTACACTACTCTCCCCTCTCCTTTCCTCTTCCGTGGCTCCTCATATCTCAGTCTTTACTGTTTCCCCTGCCCTCTGGCATAAGCACACAAAGCTGCAGTTTGGTTTTGACAATTAAACAAAGAAGATTATTACACAAAAGAAATACAAAATAAAATTAACCAAACCAAGTTATCTAAATAAAACACAGTTTGAAAGATTTCAAAACACATAGCAAAACAAAATGCCAACTATACCCCAACATTGTCACTTTACAGATAATCAAAATCAAAAGAAGTTTTCTTTCCCTATCAAATCTGTAGGTTTGACTTAATTGTTTCCTCATAGTTTCTGTCCTATAAGTTGTGAAGACTTTTCCTTGAATATTCAGAACTTAGTTCTTCTTAATATTTTAATATTCCACTGAGTTCTAATCAAACATTGCTTGTCTGGAGCAGAACAGTATATCACAGGAACAGGCCCACTATAATGCCATTTGAAATGTTTAAATGCATCTTAAGCATTGTATTGTAACGTTGGAAGTTTTCACAAACTAAAATATTTAAACTGAGGTAACATCGTCCCTTAACTGCTCTGAATAATCTCCTTTTCTAGGTGAAACCACATTTACTTCAGTCAGGTCTCCATCGAACTGCCCAACTGCTTTCCAATCTCTCAGTTTCTGTATGTTAAAATCAATCTTTGATTATTCTAAACCCAAAGTCTTTCATTGTTTTGTCTCTCCTGTCTTAAATCTCCCACAACATAAACAAATTTCCATTAACACATCAGGAAGCCTTGCAGTCACTGCTGTCTGCTTTAAAATTATGATTCTGGAACAAACAAATTTGACTAACATTATAGTATAAGTCAACATGCATTTCCTGTAAGTTTAACATTTACTACCTACAATCTTATGTGGCCCTGGTTCTCAAAGCTTTGAATCCCAATTTTCCTCAACCACAAGACTGACTGAACCAAGTTACAGATAAATTTCATAATCTCTCCTTTCACTTTTTTTTTGTTCTATTGCTGTTGTTGTTGTGAAATGTGTCTTGGCGGTAGCACTCTGGCTTCCAATGCCTTGTTCCAAGGTTTGAGCACATACTCAAGGCAATCAGCTCAGTGTAGTAGTAGGCATTGCTGCACTTTTTGCAGGAGGATTAAATACATTCAGCACCTGAATCCATGATCTTCTAACATGATGGTGAAAATATTAATACTGAGCCACCATCACATCCGATGTATCTGAAAGAAGTTGCAGTGCATTATCAGCATTTACCTTCTTAAAGGGACTAAAAACATCAGTTTCTTTTTCTTTATGTGGAATATGGGGATTTTTAACAGTGTAAAGATTTATTCTATGATTGCATTTTTACAATGAAGTTGATTATTTCTCTTTATTTATAAATGGGGAATGTGTGTTGTGGGGAATATGTAAAGCAGTTTCAGGAGACTTAGTGAATGGACACGAACATGGCAGATGGAAAATGGAAACTAATGTGAGGTTATCCACTTTGATAGGAGAAACAGATGTGCAGAGTATTTCTCAAATGATAAGAGGTTGGAAAGTATAGATGCACAAAGGGACTTGGGTATCCTTGTCAACAAGTTACTGAGGAATAAACATGCAGCTGCAGCAAGCTGTTAGGAAGGCTAATGGAAAGTTGGCCTTTACTGAAAAATGACGACTACAGGAATTGTGAAATGTTGCTTCAGATGTGTAGAAGCTTGTTTATGCCACGCATGGAGCACTGTGTGCTGTTTTGATCTTCTTATCTCAACAAAAGTATTTTTGCCATTTTTCCCAGGAAGGCAGACTGTCCTATGAAGGGAGATTGGACCAGACCTTTGTCCTGCAGAGTTTTCATGAATGAGGAATGATCTCGTTGAAGCTTACAAAATACTTAAAGGGATTGACAGAGTAGACACTGGTAGGATGTTTCCCCCGGTTGGAAAGTTTTGAATTTTGGAGCACAATTTAAAAATAAGGAGAGTGCTACTTAGGTCTGAGATGAGAAATGTTTTTACTGAGAGAGTTGCGAACCTTTGGAATTCACTATCCCAGAGGTCTGTGGAAGTTCAGTCTTTGAGTATGTTTAAGATAGAGACTGATAGATTTCTGATTACCAGTGGCATACACGGGTGAGTAAAAGGCATTGAAGTTTTGATCAGCCATGATTGTACTGAATGGTGGGGCAGGCACATGAATGGTATATTCTTGTTCCTTAGTCTCTTTGTTATAAGATGTGGGCATTGCTGGCTGGGTCAACATTTAATGCTGATCTTAATTGCCCAGGAGAAGGGTAGCTGGGGTTTTTTCTTGAACTGCTGAAAACCTTGTGCTGTCGAGGCACCCACAGTGCTATTAGGAAGTTCTAGGATTTTGACCTAACAATAGTAATGGAATGGTGATATATTTCCAAGACAGGATGGTGTGTGGCTTGGAGAGGGACATACAGGTAGTGGTGTTCCCATGTATCTGCACAATTTAGTTGAATTAGTAACTGAATAAATCTGATTTTATTTTCATTGAATTCTTTGGATTGAATTTCACGGTTGCTGCCATTTTTACATGAACCCACTAAATCAATGGCTTTTATTCTTTGTGAAGACATATAGAATGCATCTGTTACTGATTTGGACTTAGATTTTGTATGATCAATTCAAAGTTCGTAAGGTGTGGTACACACCTTTTACAGTATATCCTTGTCTAACTGAGGTGTCATACAATAATTCCACTTTCAGAGGATATTCAAGAGAGGGACCTGGAAAAAATGAGAGAGAAATTTTAATAATTTCTGATCAGGAGAAATTCAAACACTTGTCCAACAGCCTGACAACCTTAGATCCACTTAGAAGAGTGGATGAACTTTCGGGATTCTGCTCCAACATGTCTACTCTGAACAGAGATCAAAGAGGAATAATGCTGGAAAGTGACTGCCACAAAGTTGAAAGTAAGCCTATTGACAACTTTCGTTACAGCACGGCGCCTATTAACATCAGGAGAAATAACCGGAATTTTTTTTTCCCCCTTTGGATATTGAAACCTGCTGAAAATAAAACAAATTATTTGGAGATTGATCAGTCAGAAACCTTTCCTCCAAGTTGCTACCAGCGACCATGTTTAGACTTTAGACCAGAGGTTATCGACCCTGAGATTCTATCTCCTAGCTCAAACCATGACCAAGAAACCAATCTGTACCCCTACCCTGACTTTCTCCCGCCACCATTCAATAGAATAGACTTCAGTGAGCTGTCGATGTTAGAGGACTATAAATGGAAAGAAGCTCTACCGGCAAGGCCAAACAGACCTCTGGAACAGCTAATAGATCGCATTGTGCAGATGGAAAAGATTCAGTTTATGACAATTCAGAAGGAGAAAGGCAAAATTGCTGGGATGTTGCCGAGCACGGCTGCGAACACTTCCAGCTCGAGGAAAAGTTCGAAGAGAAGCAGAAAATCTCGACAATGTGATCTTCTTTGCGTGCAGCCACCTCATGTCGAGGTTTGCTTTAAGAAAGCCACTCCTGGCAAACTTGAAAAACGCAAGTACTTGTACCGAATAGGCTCCAGCCACTCTTGCGATGAATCCCCGGATTTCCAATTAACTAACGATGATGTGAAATTCAAGAGGAGACTTAGAGCGAACTGCAATGTGTATAAACATTTCAAAAGATCCATGTACAGTTCAAACCAGATAATATTGAGTAGGACCGCCTCAAACTACGCCAACACTCAAGCCTTCGCTGCTGTGAAATCTGTGAAGCCACTGCCCGGGCAAAAGTCTTCGGGCAACAGTCCCTGTAAGTACAAAAAGAAACAGAAATATATCCAAGCAGCATTAGGGAGGTCTGCAGAAGGCAGAGCAAAACACTGTTTTCTCAGCAGAGAAAGTCATTAATTGATTCTTCTGTCCTGAGAAACACCACTAGTCATGTTATCAAACTTACCTGCTCATTTTCTGAGGCATCTAGGCCAAGCAAACCAAACTTTGCTTTTAACAAACTTTTAGAACAAAATAGTATACTTTTTAAAGAAAACTTATATAATGTACTTTTGAAACTGGAAATAAAGATGAATTTTAATACTTTAAAATCTTTGAAGCATTCCACAGTATGGTGCAAATCTTTCAAATTCTTCAAAAAAAGACATGCAACAGACTGCGTAATTTTTCTGACAGCAAAAGTACACACACGAAGCCTTGGACAGTGACAGCACTTTCTTTTGGGTCAGAGGATTATTCATTCAAACCATGGACCATAGACTTAAGCACATAGCACAGGCTGATGCATTAATGTGTTGCTGGGAGAGTGCTGTACTGTCAGAGGTTTGCTGACAAGCTATGGTGTTGCACTGAGATTTTGCTTGATGCCTCGATGTAATGGATCCTTTGATACTAGTTGATGAAGTGTAGGAGATTTCTCTTCTTGTACCTTAGTTAACAACTACTAAGCCAAGTTATCTGACAGCTCATCTCATTTGTTTGTGGGAGCTGGGTCTGTACAAATTGGCTGCTGCAATTTCCTACATAACGTGCTGACTCCAGAGTAATGATTTGGCTGTGAAGGATTTTGGAATATCCTAATGTTGGAAATGGTGCTGTATAAATGCAAGTTCTTTCATTCTTCTTTTGAATTGGAGTTCAAAAGTCTAAACAAATTACAACCAGTGGCATAAATTACATTTGATATACTGCATTGAAGTTTTTTCTTCCCACTCCTGTTTTCTACGCCATTCTACCTGACAACCTGAACATTTGGACTGTAATAAACTAGGGCATATAGCCAAATTGAACACTATGGCATAATATCTTAAATAACCAAATAATCTAATGTCTTCATTTTTGTAGTCACATAGTTTAATGAATGCTTTTGACCTTAACATGTTTTAAGATCTGTACAGGTCGTCCTGGGTTGCAAATGAGTTCCTTTCTTAAGTAGTTTGTATGCAACTTGGAACACTATGCAGGACAATGGAAAGTCAGTTCGAACCCATTTAAGTTTCTCAGGTAAATTAAGCTGTGGAAACACCTTGGAGTCCCCGAATCTTATTACAGCTTTCAAAATGTTTTGACTTTATAGTAAGCGTGAGGAGGTGTTGAGCATTTGGGTAGGGGTCACTCAGTATTGTACAGAACTTAAATTGGAATATTAGAAATTAGGGTTGGGTTTCTCTGAACTCACCACCTACTCCCTAAACAGAGTTGCGCCTGACAGAGATTAATTATACTAAGATAACAAAGGCATGCAGACAATTGTCTGTTTGACACATCCCTGCAATTAGGCTCCAATCTCAAGTTATGATGAAACTGTTTAAATATCTAATAAATCAGAGGCAGCAGATTCTGATGAACAAATATTTTTTGTACTTTTAATCAATCTTGGAAGTTTTTTTGAGGAAGATTAATGTAGTTACAAAAATGCAAAATCAATTATGATGTTTAAATCACTTTCTGGGCCAAATTAAACTGGTAATGGCAGCATTTTGTATTGATTCCAGTAAAACAAACAATCACCCCTTATGCCACATGCATAATTGCTAACACAAAACCAACAGAGCTCCAGTGTAGAAAAGTGCAAAATTGCATATATGCAGGGAGCAGCTGAAAATTCCCACTGATCTGACAGTCCCAAGATGCTAAATGAATTGCTCATTGCGGAGTTTTTAAAAAAGTTGCCCCTTCTGCTTCAAAATAAAAGCACAAAGAACCTCTGATTCATAAACCAAGCCCAACTGAAGGAGGGGAGATTGAGCCCTGCTGTTAAGTGGATACAGATGAGGAGAGGGTAGTGCAGTGGTCATGTCACTGGACTTACAGTAACCTCGAGACCCAGGCTAATATTCTGGGGTCCATGTGCTTGAATCCCACCACAGGAGCTGGTGGAATTTCAATTCATAAATCTGAAACATTAAGTAAGTGTCAGTAATGGTGGTCTTGAAGCCTTTTTTTTGCTTTAAAAAGAACGCATCTAGTCCACTAATCCCCTTTAAGGAAGGAAATGTGTCATTCTGACATGGTCAGGCCTACATGTATCTAGACTCTGAAATGTCCAAGGAAGCCAATCAATTCAATGGAACGGGCAACAAATGCTGGCTTTGCTGTCAATGCCAACCCCTGCCGGAAGATGGGTCCTTGGCTCAATGTCCGTTAATGCTTCATCCTGGGCTGTTTTTGTCAGCAGCAGTTAATCATTGCCTTCCATCCTTAGAGGCTGGACGAGGAGGCAGATCCCAAGATTATCTTGGCCAGGGAACAGGAATAGAAACTACATTGTTAATGTTATTCTGAAGCACACTCTAACCAACAGCCAGCTGGCCCTTTGAGTCTTGCCCAAATATTTGTCCCACTTTCACTCTCCACCCTTCTTCAACTTTCAGAAGTGAATACTGTGACAAAAAACAGAAGTTTGTACATCATTTCTCTTCTGCTTTGCTAAAAAAAAAATTGGCTTCAAACACCAATCTATAAAGGAAAGCTACGTTGCAGTACGACCTAGAACCTTCAGGAATTATGCATTTATCTGCTGCCAACACCCTGGGCATTTTGTCTTAAAGGTGTTTCTATTCTATTTTCTTTAATATTTGCTAATTTATTATTCTAAGATATTTAAAGAAAGAAGAAAAAAAATGATATTTATTGTCATAGAAAACAAGTTTGTTTGCCTGCCCATTATGGGGAACCCTTTCTCCACTGTCCTGTGGGGGAGAACTTTCCAAGGGGAGGTGACGGCGTAGCACTATTATTGCCAGACTATTAATCCAGAAACTCAGCCAATGATCTAGGGGACCTGGCTTCAAATCCTGCCATAGCAGATGGTGGAATTTGAATTCAATAAAAACCTAGAATTGAAAGTCTAATGATGACCATGAAACCATTGTCAGTTGTGGGGACAAACTCATCTGGTTCACTAATGTCTTTTAGGGAAGGAAATTGCTATCCTTACCTGGTCTGGCCTACATGTCACCCCAGACAGATAGCAATGCAGTCTGGGCCTGCCCAGCGATACCCACATCCTGCGAATTAACTTTATTTTTAAAAAACTCTTGAGTCAGGATGCAGATCACATTGTTCCACAAATTCACATTCTTCCCAAGAGGACAGTGGGGGTCATTGAATAGTTTTATGGTGAAGGTGACAGATCCTTGACTAACAAGGGACTCAAAGATTATTGGGAGTATGTAGGAAAGTGAAGTTGAGGCCGCCATCAGATCAGCCATGATTTTATTGAATGGGGCAACAGGCTTGTTACAACTCATTGGGGTGGCAAGATGTAAACTGAACTCCATTATTCTCAGGATCATTCCAGATGCTAACTTCTTTTAAAAAAAAATTACGTACAGTATCCCATTTACGTGTCTTTCAGACCAAAGCTGACAGCAAACATGGACCATATTTTTGTATTAAACAAAAAGTAAACAAATATAAGCCACTGGCATATAACACTATTAATTAAAACTCTAATCTCCATAAAAACACCTTTTTTTACACACACACAAACTTGTGGGGAAGCTTCCCACTTCTGATGTTGAGATGTCCTTCTTTGGCCCCTGGTGTTCAGATGTCTTTTTTTCTGGAAGCTTCCACTGATTTGTAAAAAGTAGAGTGACAAATTCACTTGGAAAAAGTCTCCGATTTATCGATTCAAAAGCCACAGCAGCTTTCTGAGGGAAAGGTAACTGGTTTCTTTCAAGTTTCAACCAGGCTGCGTTTTACTGCAGAGAGCAGTCAGCTGTTGAGAATAATAGTACACTCCTCTATATTTTTGTCTAGTTTTCTCTTGTTTGCAGTTCCAACCCTGTTCAAATAGCTAAGAACCAATCAGTTTTACTTGTAAACAACTTCTTGGCAATTGTCTGTATATTACACAGGCAGGATGCTTTCCAAATATGGAAATCAGGGTCTTAGGACGTTGTAGGTACCCAAGAACCAATGCAAATGTTTGGAACTTGTTCTGTCCAATGTATATCGGGTTGGCATAATGGTCCTCACAGAAATCATGAGAGACCACCCTACAAAAAGACCGCCAACTTATTTTGTTACCTTTCTATGGGCCTAAAGGAACAAGAGTCCTGCTTCTGGTTACTTGAAGATGCAGTGGCCGAGCGTTTGCCCAAGCTTGTTCCTTATGAAATCATACTTGGCTTTCCATTTCTGCCCTGACTGGCTGGTCAGCTTGGTGTAAGAGTGCCCGAGTAGTGAAAACAGTAGGGAGCCTACTTGTTGCCTGTAGCTCACCAGACACCTTCCAACGCAGCTCAAAGCTGGCAATGGTATGCAGCTTCCTAAGTCTGCCTCAGGCAGAAATGATAGTTGCTTCACCAACAGCCTGCCAATTTCCAGTGAACACAAAAGATAACTCCCTCACAGTTCATCCAGTATTTCAGCACACAGAAGCCAATTTAATTACTGTTCACCATAAGTTCATATTTATACAGTTCAAACAACAGCTGCATTTTGCTTTTAATAAGAGCAAGGGCTAATTAATTTGGTCAAACCATTTATAGCTTGAAGTGCCTTTTGTCACTTGCTTGATAAATCCATTGAAAACTGCTTCTACATCTGAGTTTGTATGGTACAGTCCAAATTCTGTTGATACTGTTCACTCATGTAAATAACTCCATTCATGAACAATCTGGTTTAAATAGTCAGCTGTTTGTGTGACAGAGCAGCGCACACATAAATCACACCATTTATTCTGGAGTATAAAACCAGAACAAAAGATGTGCAAGGTCATACAGGTGACATTTATGGATCACAGCCTCTTAACAGTAAGTAACGTTATGCATTGCAGTATTTTAGATAATTACTGCCTGGAAAGTTGCACTAGAGGTAGTTGTCCTATAATGCAATAGTTGCACTCGTGTGACCTCACGCTATAGAAAATTGCGTTTATAGGGAAATCGTTGTGCCTGTACATAGAAAGTTTACATTATCCAAACAATGTCCACTATTCATCAATTGCGTTACAGCCAATTCACAGTAACAAAACGTGTTATAGCATAAATACCTATATTTTAGTTGGGATTGGTAGGTATCAATGGGCCATTTGCACAAATACAAAGTTAAAATCTGGAGAAACTCATGGGCCCCGGCAGCATCTGAGTTTATAGGGTTACACGCCTCACCTGTGGTTATAGATGACACAAATATTTCTGCTAGGGCCCTTGCAATTTCCTGCCTAACTTGCCACAACATCCTGAGATACACTTCATCAGATACCAGAAATTTATCCACTTATGATTTAAGACCTCCAGCACTTCCTCTTCTGTGATGTGAACTGTTTCCAAAACATCAATATTTCTGAGTTCCCCAGCCACCATTTTTCTCCACAGTAAGAACTGACAAAATATTCATATATCTTTCCCATTTCCCAAGATTCAACACAAAGATGACCTCAATGACCTTCGAGAGGCCCTACTATCCAGTTGCTCTTTTGCTTTTAATATATTTGTAGAATCTCTCTAGCTTATCCTTAACCTTTCCTGCTAAGGTTATCTCATATCCACACAGTCCTTCCTGATATCTCTCTTAAGAATGCCCCTTCACTCTATACTCTTCAGAAATGGGATCAAATTAATCTCTTGTTTTTGTTTGTTTCCGATCTCCAGCATTTGCAGTTCTTTGTTTTATTTAAGCTAAAATCTTCTGCTGCTTATACTTCGTCCATTATTGTAACTGTGCTATTCTTCCAGAGGCATCCCTCCTCCTCAGTTACAGTTTAGGCAATAAAAGTTCAGTAGGAAAATTCACCACAGCCTCCAAAATCATTTGTGCAAGCAAAAATGTGAAAGCATGCATGTTCTGGGTTGAATGCACAGGGGCAGAATAGTTTAACTACTTATGAAATCTGCCTGCTATGGATATCATCCACCCTCACGTGCAACATAAAACACAACAATCCTGGTAGGAAGCTCACTGTAAGAAGTTGTTCCCTCATGAAACAGGATGCAGCAACAAAACCTTGACGGCTGTGAAGTATGTTTTTTGAAGTATAGTCAAAAGGAATTATGGCTTCTATTGTTAAAGGGATAGAATATTAAGGTAGGGAAGTGTCACTGCAATCTCTACAAGGTACTGGTGATTCTGCATCTGGAGCACTGAGTAATTTTGATCCCCTTACATGAGGAAAGATGCAATTGCATTGGAAGCAGTTCAGAGAAGGGTCACTAGATTAATTCTAGAGATAAAAGACATGTCTTCGAGGAGAAATCAAGTAATTTAGGCCTATACCCACTATATTTAGAAGGACGAGAGGAGATCTAACCGAGATACAAGATGTTACGGCGATTGACAAAGCAGAATAGAGCAGATGTTTCCCCTTGTAGGGCAATCTAGAACGAGAGGTCTTAGTGTTAGGCTAATGAGACATGAACAAGAATAACAAGACTTTAAGGAGTAAATCTGTAGAATTCACTACCCCAAAGTGTGGTGGATGCTGGGACAGTAAATAAATATGGGGAGATAGATTTTTAACTAGTAATTGGTTATAGTGAGCAAGCATTGAGATTGAGAGGAGATCAACCACAATTGTATTAAATAGCACAGCAGGCTCAAGGGGCCTACTAGCCTACTCCTGCTCAGAGTTCTTTTGTAGAGTTGAGGTGCAAGTAATTAGATTGTACTGAGAAACAGGCCAAAAGGGATAAAAAGCAGACTCTCCTTTCCCCAGTAATTAATATTAATAGAGCGGTACAGTGGCTCAGTGGTTAGCAATGCTGCCTCACAACACCAGGGACCTGGGTTTGATTCTGTCCTCATGATTGTACTTGTAAAATTTGCATATTCTCCCCATGTCTGCATGGGTCCCTTCTGGATGCTCTGGTTTTCACCCCCAATTCAAAGGTGTGCATGTTAGGTGGAGTGGCCTACTAAATTGCCCATAGTGTCCAGGGATGTGCAGGCTAGGTGGGGAATGCAGGGGTATAGGGTAGGGGGTTAGGTCTGAGTGGGATGCTCTTCAGAAGGTTGATGTGGACTCGATAAGCCAAATGGCCTGCTTCTACACTGTAGGGATTCTATGATTGACAGAAGATAATGAACATACTTTGCAAAAATGTCATAGGAAATTTCCTTCCTCAACTGGGAATTAAAAATTGCACATTTCTCATTGGTAAACTGTAAAAGGAAACAACCACTTTGATACCAAATTCTTTTAATGAAACCGACTCAAAGCAATTAACAAAATACTGTGTTGCTAAAATGTTAAATTTACAATATTCCAGTTAGACAATACAAAATGCACACATTACTTTGGTTTCAACACCTAGAAATGGGCATTCATGTTCACCACCAAGATGTCAAGTTTAAGATTTCTTGGGGCTTGTTGGTGTTTTAAAATGATCAGTTTCCCAAGATTAGTAAAACAGGTGAATTCTTGCAATACATACACATTTCTGCAATTTAAAGTGAATATTTCAACATACAGCAATACAATTATACTCTTATGCATAACCGTATTGAAAAATAAGCTGTGAAACCAGCGTCTTCACTTTCATTCAATACTGAAGAATTCTTTGCTGTCAGTAACTTGTGTTGAAGCTAAGATAATGAATCATCGTTCGCAGGAATAGGCATTTTACATTTGTGATCCCTACCTATGAAATAAAACACAGAATAAGAAAATAGTATTACATGATTCAAACATTAAACAAGTTTACTTATGAATCACCCCTCAACTTGCAACACAGCTTGGTTATAATAAATTCCCTGTACCAAAAAGTGCTTATAGTAAATATTTAACTGGTCAATGAGAAATGGGGGTCAAAACTGGATACTCTGACATAATTTTAACTAGGTCATTCAGAATGATAATTGAAATGTGGATTAACTGCTGTATCAATTCTGATGTACACTAAAAAGTTTTTATATAGACCTAAAAAGATCCTGCAAAAAGAATATCACTAGTGATGCCATATTCGTCAGAATACAGAAGTCTTAAGCCAAAATTTACTAGACATTGCATGCAATGTTAAAGTTGGGCTTACAGAATTTTAACTTCTAAAAATCTTACTAAACTTGAAGTAAATCATTTCCTTCCCAATAAAAGGCAACACTAATAAGGAGTACTTTGGTTTCTGAAATCATTAATCATTGGTAAAGATCTAAATGTCAGGCTCCTTGATATTAAAAGGCAACTGTAGACCAGGCTTGCAGTAGCATTCTTTGTCAAAGGAACTACCTAAGAGCTAAATTCAATTTAAAGTCTGCACGATTCATTTAAACCTGTAAATAATTTGTCAATCTTTCACTTGAAGGGTAACAATAAAAGATAAAATAGTGGTCCTTGTCAGCTGAAATTTAGCACTGAAGGACTCCGAAGACACTACTTTAATTGAGAAATCACCAGTAAACAGTGATATTCCAGTTACTTAAAGTCACTGTAAGTGTTGTCTTTAGGGGACAGAAACCTTAATTCAGTCTTCATTTTCTTGCAACATGCATCGTCTCCCATCAGGGTGCACCTAAGAGACAGAGAACAAGTAAAGAAACACCTTGATCCCTTAAAGTTTTGCTGTGATTTTTAAAAAAAAAAGCCTGTGAAAAAATTCTGCATAACAATAAGGAACTTAAATAATTTTCTTGAATAAACACCTCAAGTCTGATGCTCACAAACTTAAAATTTTACATTTTTTTTTACATACATCACAATTCAACTGCAGCAAAGCAAAGAATCCTTAGAAGTGTCAGCTATTCAAAAAATTTCTTTAAAGATAATAGTTGCAAGAAATGCACTTTTCATCTGGTATGAAATGCTTATCTAGGCATGCCGTCAGAAATGACCTTGTGGAGAAGGTGAAGGAGGTGTCTCATTCAAAGTAGGCCCATGGAATAGGCGGCGTGGCCTGTTGCCTCCCAGCATAGCAACATAACTTGCTTTCCTTTCTCTCTCAGCACCATCGAAGGGAAGTAAGAAAACAGTACAAAACATTAGTTATTTTGCAGTAACAGGATAACTGGATCAGACTTCCAAACAGCTTTGTGAATTGTGGTGACCTTTAACTGGCATTACTGAGACACTGATTTCCAATATGCAACATCCACTTTTAACTGTTACTTCCACAGTAAGTTATAACATTAACTGAACTTAGTGAAGAAGAGACACTAGAAAACTGATCAACTACTCCTTTGCATAAATCCTTTTTTTAAAACCAGTTTTTATTTTTTTTTGAAATAGTAAGTGAAAGGCTTACAGCAACTAAAGGCAATTTACGTTGAGTGCATTGATTTGTGACTTGATAATCTTACTTTTTTTACTTTGTACAAAAAGGTAGTTGGATAAAAATGTCACATTTACATAGAAAATGACGCTCGTTAAACATCTCATACGAAGACAATTGGGATAATAAAATAAAATTAAAAAAACAGATCAGATCAGCAAGTCACCACTGTAGTTTTATATTTGTAGAGAGACTTGACTGCACGTTTGGACCACTGCGAAATGGCTATAATGCTTGTTCAAAATGAACACTTTATTTACCGATGTATTTATAAATGCACAACCAAAATCATTCAGTATTCTGCATGGGCAACTTTAGGTGTGGGAGGAGTGTGCTGCTGTCTGACAAAATGCCCCAACTTACCTTTTCTATATATAAGCAAAGGCATTGTGCAATTATTTTAGCTCCTTCACTGGTCATTAAGTGTAAGAAGGCATTTGTACAACACTAAGCTCTGATCCACTAGCCATTAAAAGGTTCCATTTCTTTGTGGGTTGATTTCATAAAAGAGATAACAAACGTTTATGCCCATTTTAGGAATGAATTGCCCCCAGAAGCACAATGGCTTACTGAATCCAAAACAAACTACCATGCAATCAGAAACCCAAGGGTTCACAAATCCGGTCAGTCTGAAGCCAATGTTGACTTGCGCCAGTGAAGGGGCTAAGTGCAGAGCTACAATTCAAAGTCATCACAACTCATCTTAAAAAAAAAACTAAATGCCAAATTAAATGTACAAAAGAAAAAAGGTAAAGAAGCAATTACCGCTTTAAAAAGCAGCTTCTTTGCTCAAGAGTGGAAGGTTATGTATGCCTGTATTGAGAGACAACATGATCACAAATAATGAAACCAATGCACATAACGTAGCAAAGGAAATTCTTACTGTAAAACAATTTCTTAACTTTAATTTTTAAAAATTCAGCGTGTCATATTTTAGCCATCTACAAAGAAATATAAAATCCCAATTTTTTTCCATTTCAATGACTAAATGAAACTGTTTCTGTTTATTAATGGACTATAGGTACAGATTTACTAAAACAGAATTTTATGGCATTGACAAATTTCTACCACAATTCTATAACAGTGTCAAATGGTGAAAAACAGTACACTGAAGGTGCTATATCATCAAGCTTGCCTGCACTGAAGTCTATAAATTGGCATAGTTTCAGCACTACATTAGCAAATTCACAAGCTAGTTAATATCATCACATTCGCCAGCATGCAAGGCATTCCGCCATGATGCTAATACTTCCCATTCATGAGCTGTGTCTATTTGTGACAATGAATGCTAATACACCAGTAATGTTGATGGTTTAGCTTACCTTCAGTGTACTGAAAGTGGTACACAACCTGCTTTAAATGATGTGACCATCCCTGCGAGCAGGCACAGGTAGGGACAGACCCCTTCGGCACTGAGTACACCAAGGGCATGCTGGCCTGCGTACACACACCTAGGAAAATGTGAATATAAACATCATTTTACCTCGGCCATTGTTACACAGACAAGGATGGGCTAAGCCTGCACAAAAACAAAAAAGGTGTATTTTGAAGAACTGCAGCCAAAATTCTTCTCCAAAAACACCAGTGCTTACAAGATCTTAAAATAACTTTTCTTTATAAACAGTTTGTGTGCAGCCTTAGCTGTTAAAACAATTCAACAAAACTACAGTGAAAGTATGAAGAAAACATTTGGAAAAAACAAATCATTATATTTACAGTGACTCATATTCCTACTAGAAATAACATTTCTCTTTTAACTTAACTTCATGCATATTTCATGGTAAACATCGTGTTTCACATATACTAAAATACTTTTCTGACTTTTCCAGTCTTTGTTTAATTGCTCAAACCCGTTAAATCCTCCGATTAAATCTTCTCCTGAATGAATGGGTGTTGCAGTGCCTGGTTAATGCTGACACGTTTAGCTGGGTCTAACATAAGAATCTGCTCCAGCAAGTCTTTGAGCTGGTGAACTTTTTTACGCTGGTCTTCTGGCAAACGCTGACAACCAATCATGTCAGACAACAGGTCCTTAGTAGAGTTAATAGTGCTCATAACAGTGACTTTCTCCTAAAGTAAAACAAAAGAAAACCAGTCTTAGTTCAAATGCATATGGTGTGTTAATATTTGCAAACATGCACACAAATTAGGTGAAGCAGGATATTCTGTAGTTCATGCCTCCACCATTCAAAAAGATCGTGACTGGTTCTCCATTCCACATTCGTATCTACCTCAATAACCTTCGAATGCCTTGTCAAACAAGAATCTGTCTACCGCTGCTATAAAAATATTCAATGACTTCACTTCCATTGCCTTGAGGTAGAGGCTTCCAAAGCCACAAGACCATGGGAGAAATAACTGTTCCTCATCCGTCTTAAAAATGCAACACCTATTTTTTAAAACAGCACTTCCTAGTGCTGGACACACCCACAAGAAATATCCTTTCAAGATCCACCTTGTGAAAACCATTCTATACCTAGGATCATTACCCCTCAACTGTCCATAAACTCAAAGAAACAAGCCCAGTCTGTCTATTCTTTGCATTCCAGGTGTCAATCCAGTCAACCCCCATGAACCATGTCCAATGCATTTAATCCTTCCTTAAATAAAGGATACTAAAATGTGCACAGTATTTAAGCTAGGGGCAGCATGGTGGCTCAGCGATTAGCACAGCTGCCTCACAGCACCAGGGACTTGGGTTCAATTCCAACCTCAGGCAACTGTCAGTGTGGAGTCTGCATGCTCTCTCTATGTCTGTATGGGTTTCCACTGCATGCTCCAGTTTCCTCCCACAGTCCAAAGTTGTGCAGGTTAGGTGGATTAAGCATGCTAAATTGCCCATAGTATCTAGGGGCATGCAGGCTGGGTGGATTAGCATGGGAAATTCAGGGTTACATGGATAGGGTAGGGGGATGCTCTTCAGAGGGTCAGTGTGGACTCAATAGGTCAAATGACCTGTTTTGCACTGTAGGGATTCTGTGATATCCAGTTACGTTCTATACAAGTTGAAGCACAATATCCTTACTTCATGTTCAATTCCTATCGAAACAAGCAATAGCAATCTTTTAGCTTCATTTACTTGCTATACTTGCATACTAACTTTTCAGGACTCAAAACTCTCCATTCCTCTCCATCTCAGAATTCTGGGGTCATTCTACTTAAGTAAAACTCTGCCAATGACATGACAGTTGCCCATGCCCGCACAAATGGCAGTAATGAAGACATAGCAACATGACAAAACCTTCTGACTGTCATCCTGCAAATCCCTCCATTCCCCCAGGCATGCATAGCTAGCTGTACAGCTCACCACTTCAGTTCTCTGGAGTCGTCGATTGCTATGCCACCTCACGTGGGGCGTTGACGAACAGCCACTTTTCGTATCCTGTTAAGGTGAACTTCTCACATTATCCACCATCAGCCAGATTTTTTGACCATTTTGGCCATTTGATTTCTCTGCATTCCCTTCACAACATATTTTCCTACTTATTTTTCTGTCATCTTGCAGTAGATTGCCATCAAACCTTTGCGCCTTTAAGTAAATTGTAAAAAGTTAAGGCCCCAGCACATATCCTTATGGGACCCTACTTGTCACATCCTATGAATCAGAAGGGGACCCATTAATTCTTACTGATTTCTTCCAGCCAGCCAATCCTCCTTGCAAGTTAACATGCTTCTACTTTTGTGCGGTTCCTGGTCAAATGCTTTCTAGAAATCAAAGTACAGCACAACTACAGCCTCATTTTTATACATAGCGCATCACCCCGTCTCAAAAAACTCCAATATATTAGTTAAATATGATTTCCCCTTCACAACACAACTATCTCTTGCCAATTACCTGAGGTTTTTCCAAATACCCAACTATATCCTCCTTTATTATTGTAATACTTTTCCTACAACAGACATCAAAAGCTAACTGGCCTAGTTTCCTGTTTTCTGCCTTATTCCCTTAGAATTGAGAATTTTAGAAAATTAACATCAACCCATCTAATTCATTAGCCACCTCTGTTAAGGCCAGAGGATGGAGTCCATCAGGACACAGGGACTTGCTAGCCCACCACTACATCAGTTTTCATCATTGCTGATTATAATTAGTTTGTAGTTTTTAAAGCATTATGCTCAAAAGTGAACAAGCTTAAAGTTGAATACAGTTAGCCTGCAACATTGTAACACTTAAATTTACAGTTAAAATTTAAAATAACCACTAGTTACACACTGATTTGTAAACTTAGCTGTACATAGTCAGAGAGAAAAGTATAATGTGCTATGGATAACATAGCTGAATAATAACGAAGCAGAACATACTGAACTTAGGGCAATCCGCTACCTTGCAGTAGATGCTTTTCCGCTGAACCTCTAAATGAAAGTCTCATTCATTTCATTACAAGGATACAGCAGCTCAGGTACCAACCCACGCTCATGCATTCTTCAAAGCATGCTGAATAGGGTATAGTGGTATTTGCTTTCTGCCAGTGTTCCAATTAAAAGGTTTATATTGTATTCTACATTTTCAACTTACGGGGCCAAAACATCTTTTAATTATTGATAACAGGTAAAATCCATTTTCTTTGCAAATCCTACCACCTGCAGTGTATCATTCCACAAGTTTCTTCTGCTTACATTATGTTAAAATGTACAATAGGTCACAATCAGAATGATATCCATGAGAAATCACACTCAAATGTGTAATAACTATTATATTTTTGCCACAATAAAGCAACATACATATGTACAAACATTAATGGATATGATCAGGACTAGTCAAGGCCTCATGGGAACCCAATGAGCAAGCAAATGTTCCTGGTTCAGATTCTGGGAAGTGGCACTCTGTGCTCTATTCAGAAGTGGAAAGTCAGTTTTCTTTTTTTATTTTAAATTTTATTTCACAATACTTCATTTACCAATGTGGTAATTTAGCAATTTAAAATACTGTTTACAGCAGTATTTTTAAAGAAATAATACTTTTCTGCTAACGCAGGCCATATGGAACCAAACAGCAGTTTTAACATTCATTCCAATGCAAACTGACGCTTCATTTAAAGTCTTTCACTTAAAGTGGCTGTTTTCAGGAATGTAGCCACAACTTTACATGAAGACTCCCTGTATACCAGCTATGACAAGAGAATTGTCATCATTTAGTCAATAAAGTTATTCAATGTCAATATACAGGGCGCAGGAACAGTGGTGCATTTCCTCACTCAATCTAGTGATCGATACAAGTACACAAACCAATTTTATAAGATATTCCCATTTGTAATAACATCTACTTGACACTGTTACCTTACACAACTGCTACTGGCTCTGCTGTTACTTCTACCCTTCTGAAAGCCACAGCCGCTACCCAAAACAGCACCCCCCACAAACAGATTCCAACCAGCATTAGTTGCATCAAAAACTCCAAATTCAACCTCAGAAGTTAGTGAAGATTTGGCATATTGATACATTTTGAAACATTATGCGTGCACAAAATATTAGAATGCATTTCACAGTTTATTATTTTTGGATGAAGAAAGTAGAAAGGTTTCTTACTCAGAAATCAGACAATAAATCACGTCAACAGCTGCAGTTTCTGTGGCACTTGGCTCAAAAATAACAAGTTATGATGAAAATAAATGGAAACAAAATCTTCTTTGCATAAAGGAGTCGTGGACTGTATTGGGCCTTTTTGCTACTGTTGTAAGCACATTGGTATTCCCCAATTTAGGATCATTTTTAGCTGACTACTGAGATTAACTTTCACCTTTAAAAATTTTAGTCTTAAGTAGAAGAGAAGTAACCGTTTCTATTTATACTTTTTTTAAAACATAAGAAAAATATTCATTTTTTAGTAATTTTTTGATAAAGTAATCTGCCATTTTCAATTTATTGTGGCTGTACGAGACTGAACAGAAAAGAAACTCCAATGTAACGCAGTGCTAAATAAAATCTTGCCACTATTCCGAAGTTTCGTACCAGCTGGAATGCCCTGGAGAAGCTTTATTCACACAAGATAACGTGGACTGTTTTCATATATTTCCAATTGGTAATTACTAATAGACGTTTCTAAAGACAGGAGTGAGTCACCTATCCACACACATGGTCAGAAAATGTAAGAGATACAAAACGGATGACAAAATATTACAAAAAGAACCTTCTAATTTTCCCTTTGTTAGCTTCCATGGATGCCACAATTCTCTTGAGTGCATTGCAAAATGAAGCAGCCCAAATGGATCTCAGAACATCTCTCTCGTGTTTGCCCTACCTGATGTATCAATTGTTCATCTTTTTATATCACATCTTTGAATTCAGTGCTTGTGGTGGTGTAACATGCAACATAATACTCAAGGTGTCCTAGCATTTCAACTGAAAGGTTTGCCTGCAGTTAGCAACACAAGAAGGAATACACTGATCTGAATTACATGTTTTATAGCTATAATAAAAGCAAGTTTCTTTATGCTACAGTCTAAGGTCAGGAATTTTTTTTCTTTATTCATTAATGGGATGAGGGCATCACTGACGAGGCAACATTTATTGCCCATCCCTAACTATCCAGAGGGCAGTTCAGAGTCAACCACATTGCTGTGGTTTGGAGTCACATGTTGGCCAGACCAGGTAAGGATGGCAATTTCCTTCCCTAAAAGGACATTAGTGAACCAGATGGGTTTTTCCAACAAACAACAATGGATTTGTGGTCATCATTAGATTCTTAAGCCCACATATTTTATTGAAATCCAATTCCACCATCTGCCAAGGCAGGATTTGAACCCGGGTCCCCAGAATGTTATCTGGGTCTCTGGATTAACAGTCCAGCGATAATACCACTAGGCCATCACCTCCCCCTATGGAGGGTACAACTGAAGCTGACAAACTGAAAAAACGATACTTTTAAATTCAAGGCTTCCTCAAGTCTTTTCCTTCAAAGATCAATCCTTTTGCTTGAAAATATCTAAGGATTATGCTGAGGTACATTAGAAGATGTAGAATACAAACCCTTTCTGTCACTTTATCCACTTCAATGTACATGAAGTTCAGATTCTGATCGAAGTGTTGGTCCTTGAAAACACCTTTTCTAATCATCTGAAAATAATGAAGTATATTTCACATAATTGTACAAATGTGCAAGCAACCAAAGATACATTTTACCACTCAAAGAACCTGATCTTTTACAGATAGTATAAAAATATAGCAGTGTCATTGCACAGGTCTATGCAAAGGTTTCCTTTCCCCACAGTATTGTGCAAACCTATAGCATTAAGAATGGCAAAGGAGAAAGTTAGAGAAAATAAAGACTAACACATTTAAAAAAAGTATAACTAAAGATAATATGTAAAAGCAGAAACCATCTCACAGGAAACAAAAACTGATTCAAATGTTGTCATTGCATCAGTTTCAAAATCTGGCAAAATATATAAATTATAAATACACAAGATGTTGCTGAAAGTTTCTCTGATAGTGATTTTACAATTTTGATAAAGATACAGCCCCAGAATGGAACATTAAAAGCAAAACAAAATCTGAAAAGACTTAGTCAGTTCCAGTGAACATCACAAACTAGTAAAGAATTCAACAGGAAAATCACTAACATACCGACCTTGGGGCCAGCCTTCCAAATTCAGTGGATGCTGTTCAGTGTCCACCGAAAATTCAAAATGCCAAGCATGCAGAATCCTGCGCTCCAGTATCCAAGTACCAATAAAGCTTTTACAGTTAGCAATGAGCCAGTAAGACTTTTGGCTTTTTGACAATAAAAATAAAGATGGCTTTTAGCTAATCCAACTGTTTAAAGCACATTAATTGCTGGGTCAAACTCCTAGAACTTCCTAACAACATTGTGGCTGTATCTACACCACACAGACTGCAGCAGTTCAAGATGGCAGAACAGCACTCTTCTAAACTGAAACTTCCCCCATCAAAGCGTCCCAGAACAGATACATCATAGGGTTAGAAATAGCACGAAGGCTCCTCTACTCTCAAACTCAAAGTAGAGCTGCCTTGACACCATCCTCATCAAACACTCCCAGGACAGGGGCAGCACAGGGATATATACAAAGTAAAGCTTCAGGGCAATAAAGCTGGTCTTGAAGCAACATCCACATTCCATGAATGACTTAAAAATAAACAGGTGCAGTGAAAGAATTTTCAGTTTTAAAAGCAAAAGTATCAGTTTAATCCCCAAATCCTTCTACATGTTCTGTATCAGTCTGACAAAGTGAAATACAGCTGATTCATTAAGGCACATGCATTTACCCATATGGTAGTGTCCATTCAGAGAGCATGCACCAGCTCCTTGTCATTATGATTTAACAATATGAAAATTAAACACTTTATCCCACTTATAAAGTTTCTATTTTAAAATATGGATTTCCTTATCAATTTGACATGATAAAGAAATTAAAAGAATTCAGTACCAACATATCAAATGTTACATTCAAATGATCAATAAAGTATAAAACACTAGCAAGTTAAAATTCTCATTACCAAATAAACATAAATATAGGTCCAAGATTTATTAGCCTACCTTATTTGGCATTTTGCCCTTTAGGTCCATCATAAGTTTCAGCATATGATTATTAGTTTTGCCAGGAAATAGAATTTTTCCTGTGTAAAGTTCATAAAGCGTGCAACCAACGGACCACAAGTCTATGGCGTAATCATAAACCTTCCCAATAACTGTAAGAGATAAACAGAAAGTGCTTAAGCTTGGATATTTGTATGTACTGAAGTATTCCTGCTTATGTTCAGTGCATTTTGATCAAAGTGTTAAAAGATGAAACAATTTCAAAATTGCTCTCAGGTCTACATAGTCACTGAACACAAATGACACAGCACCAAGTAACTTCAAAATAATAAGAGAATTGTGGATTATATGTATAATGCTTAAAGCAAACTAGTGATTTTAGCTAAATCACCAGAGCAAAACACAAGGCAGAGAAGAAAAAAAAAAAAAAAAATAATAAAAATCGGCTCAGACTGTTCCCTTCAAGTGATAACCGACCAGCAGCAACTTAGATTTAACGTCCTTTCATCAGTAAAATGTCCCAAAGTATTGGAAAATACTTTGTGGTGAGGAAAGAGAAATTCAACAGATCAAAGGAAGTACAGTTCTGTTAAAAGTTTAGTGGAGAGGTCAATTGTAAAGATGCACAATGAATTCCAGCACGTAACCATAGCATGCAAGCTTACATCTATAATTTACCCGAGTTATGTTGCTGAACTCTAATTTCTTGCTCTGTGGTGTTAGAGCCTGCTTGGACTGCTCAACTACCAATAGGTTCTATTATCACAGCTATAGACTTTATTTTGGATACATGTGAGTGTGTTTGCATTTGAGGAGGAGGGGTGGTGCTCTCAACAATTTAATTTCTTGGTCACAGTAAATGCAGATCAACAAGAAACCAAAGGGAAGAAATCTAAGTAGCACAGCTAAATGTGCAAATTCTCATCTGCTTCAGATGTTAAATAAACATTTAGAACTTACTAATTTCAGGGGCTCGGTAAAATCTGCTGACGAGGTATGGCGTTATATCGTTATCAGCTACATGTGAAGCTGAGCCAAAGTCACACAGCTTCAGGATGGTTTTGGATTCATTTACCTGTAAAGAAACAACAGTTACTGTATCTACTTAGCAACTAATTTGTAAGGGCCTACAAAAATTTCAGATCCATTTTTGACAGCACAAATTGTAATAACTTTTAAAAGAAATAATTTCAGTATTTAATAACATGACTACAGATGTTGGAACTATTCTAGTGACACTATTTTCAGAAGAAACAGCTTGCAATCTTACACCACTACATTTATAATATACCTGTACACCACAGAATTCAGTGCATTTCAATAAATTACTTTGGAAATGCCTACTGATTTCAGATGTTTACTTCAGTTCTGCGAAAATCAATTGTCACCTTGATCTGCTCGTGATCTTAAGGACATCAAATCAACGTAAACTGGTAGCTGATAGCTCCATGGCAATGTACTTCAGGTGTAAAATGAAGACAAAATTTACTGAGTACAGGGATTCAGTAAAATCTGACAAGGACTGCTGTTAAATCACAAAGTTACATAATGTTTACGTCTTGGCAAATTTTTACAAAAGTCTCATTGGTACATGAACAGTTTCACAGTAGTATCAAGAATCTGCATCTTTGAAAATCAATGTCCATACTGCCCAAGATTCTCTTTCTGGGTTTTCCATTATATTTTAGTTACGTTGCCTCAGTGAAGAAACACACTGCATAAATAATCCTTCTATCCAAACAGAATGATGAAAAAAAGTGAGAACTCTCTCTCCATAGAAGAGGTATATGTCCTAACGTTCACTCACCAAAGACAACAAGGCCACAATACAAACAAACTGAAACACTAAAAATGCAGTGAATCTGGAAAAGAAACGCATGTTTCTAACTAAAGTGCACACCATCCCATAAACCTTAAATCCTCATGGTTTTGCCCCAACCTAATTTAGCCATTGTTATCCTGTTTCTCCTTTTCATCCATGCATTGATTTCCACCACACAAGTATCTACAGAGGAATCCAAGAATTTACAAACTCAACTAACAAGGAGTGCTCATCCAATACCCAATTTATATGTATGATTTAGAAAAGAAATTTAAAAGATTTTCTCTCCCTCCACATCCATTACCCAACATTATCAAGATATCACAACCTTTTCACAATGACCCCACCCGCAAACTGGAGCAGCAACACCTCCTATTCCGCCACGGAAGCCTACAGCCTGATGGCCTAAACGTGGAATTCACCAGTTTTAAAATCTCCCCACCCCCAACCTCATCCCTGCCTCTTTGACCTGACACAACTTGTCCATCTTCTCTCCTACCTGTCCACACCACCCATCCCACTGACCAATCCCCACTACTGCCTACATGCACTCACCTATAACCATCCCAACCACCTTCCCCAGCCCCACCCCTCCCCTCTTTATTTCCCAGCTCCCTTCCCCCTCCCCAATCCCAAAGGAGGGTCCCGACCTGAAATACCAACTTGCCTGCTCGACTGATGCTGCCTGGCCTGCTGTATTCCTCCAGCTCCATACTGTGTTGTCTTTTCATGCAATACACTATTTTAAGCTTGTATTAGCAAAAATAAATTTTCAATTTACCAAAATGTTGTCAGGTTTGATATCAGCATGAAGGATGTTACATCTCTTCAATAGTTTCAGAGCTAGGAAAAGCTGCTGACTGTATGATCTTACAGCCTTTATATGAAGGCCAACATCCTTCCCATATTTTTTCAACACTTCACGTAAGTTCATACTGTGTGAAAGGGAAACAAAATATTTTAGTACTCAAAATGAATAAATATAAATGAGAAAGATACTGGTGTCACTCAATAATTCAATTTTCTGAGCACACAACTCATTTTAAACAAAATCAAATTTGAGGACTCAATTTTTTTTAAACTTTTTTAATTTAGTGAATACAAGGACAAAACATTTTTTTCCTAAAGATATACCAAGTGATGCTCAACTGAAGCCAAAATACTACGACATACCCATTTGGTCTTTCTGTTCCAATTCAGAGAATCCACAAGAGCATAAACTTTGTTTCAGAAGAGAGAGATGTCAAACAAGCCCTTTGGTGTCCATAATACCAACACTACGTTCAATTGTAAATTGTGCAGCGAGATTACGGAAGTAATTCCATTTTAATTTCTCCTACAGTAAAGACAGTCAATTTCCATTTTCACAATAGCTTTGTCACACAAGCACCCAGCACTGGTCAACATCATGCTTTTAAATTCACAGCTTCCTTTTGCTGGAGGAAGGTAAAGGAAAAATGCACCAATATCAGCTTCTAAACAAGAATGGAGTTAGATTTGTTTTGAAATTGAAAAATGTTTAAGACCATCGATTTAGTAAATAATATATCGGATAGCCTGTCAGCATCCTCAGTGAGCACTGCCTCTCTCATTCCCTGAGCTCTGAATTCATTTGTCAAGACCAGGAGGATGAAACCACATACTTCTAAGTTCTTTAAATATAAAGCATCCTCCACTTAACACAAGGATCACCTCTAGCTACCACTAAGAATGATGAAACAATGCTACTAAAAGACATTGAGACGGAATGTCACAACTCTAGTGTGGTCTCTTTACTCTTCTTCCTATGGTTACCAGCTTGTACTGAGAACAAACAAAAAAGAAAGTTTACCAATCAAAACTAAGGAGCAAATCAAGCAATTTGAGATTCCCTTTCGACTGACCCCTCAGGACTGGGATTTATAGCACAAAGCTATTGTGAAAAGCTCAATTGGCAGCATGGAAATCTCTAATGTCAAAATCAAGGAGAAGTAAAAATTCCATGGCAGTAAATACTGAAGTGCTTTGAACTTTGCCAGGAGACTACAGCTCACCAAGGAATTTGCAACCATTTTGGCTTCAATAGTACATCATATTTAAACATTCCTGTCAAATTATGTTAATAATTAGATTGGAATGCAAAATCTTGTTCAAACAAAACGGTCATCCAAGAATTGTGGCCATATTTTATGCTGACCACAAATTTGAACAACACTGATCACAGCTGTTTGCTTGCCTGCCCCCAATCCAATAATTGATATTTTTTAATAAAGTATTTGTTATAGCAGTCAGTGGTGGATGAAAAAGACATTTATGGCACAGGGTTATACAGCAACCAGTTACCTCAAAGGCTCAAAGACCAAGCAAAGATGTTGCTTGTGGTAGAAGTGTCTAAAAAGTCTCAGGCAATGGAACTTATCATCAGGATCTGCATCATTCAACTTCTTCAGGAACTCTAGCTCCTTCAAACCAGTCTTTTGCCTGTCAACATAAGGATCAATCAATCTCCATTTTATTCAACAAAAGAAAATGAACTGCAATGACATGAATTATTTTTACAAGGAAGACAGAAAAATACAATACAGTTGGAGATGCTAGTGTTACAATTGTCTACAGTTTCCCTACGTTGGAAAGGAGACAGAAAGCAGTCAAAGGTTCTGCTGGGAATGCACAAAAGCGTTGAATTAGGAATGTATGGCACTGAACTGTGATATACCGTACAACCAATATTAGTTAACACACACCATCAGAGCCCACATTTCAAGACCAGAACCATCAAGCTTATTTGGAAAATCTAGGTATTGCCGAAATAGAAAAGGGAAACAGATCAAAGGTATTTGACTTACACTCATCAGGATAAACACGAGATTACCAAATTCAAACAATCACAATTTACAATAGTGAACTACTATAGCCAGGGCTGGCTGTGCCTGCGAGAAGGCAATAGCCTCCCAACGATTCAAATAAGACACAAAGCACAAACATACTACCTTTGTTCATATAGAACAAGCCCTGTGCATCATTGCCTATTGCTTTTAGCATGGCTCATTTTATGCTTGCTATGAGAACAAATGATTGTGTTAAATTGGCAGTTAGTGCAGCTATTAGTGCACACAGGATTGTTTGATGAAGCCTACCTAACCATAGAATCACATTTAACAGTAGGTATTTTGTTTTAGGTTTTACAAACGCAAAAATTCCTTATAAAGTGGCTACAAGGGCAGGTGAGAAGTTAGGAACACGGCACTAAGTAACTCACCCCCGACTCCTCAAATCCTGTCCAGCATCTACAAGGTACAAGTCAAGACTGTAATGAAATACTGCCTGCTTGCCTGGATGAGTGCAACTCCAACAATACTCAAGAAGCTTGACACCATCCAGGACAAAGCAGCCTGTTCGATCAGCACCAAGACCATAAACACCCACACCCTCCACCACCAATGCTTAGTAGCAATGTGTACTATCAGCAAGATGCAATGCAGAAATTTACCAACAATCCATAGCACCTTACAAACCCATAACCTGCACAGCAGATACATGGGGATAACTACCACTTGCAAGTTACCCTTTGAGCCACTTGCCATCCTGACTTGGAAACATATCACTGTCCTTTCATCGTCACTGCATCAAATTCCTAGAACTCCCTGCCCAACAGCACTGTGGATCTCCCAACAGCACATGGATGCAGTTGTTCAAGGCAGCAGCTCACCACCACCTTCTAAAGGGCACCATGGAATGGGCAATAAATGCTGACCCTGTCAGCGACATCAACATCCCATGAGTGAATAAGCGAAAAAAATTTTTGATTGCTCTCTGCGATCACCTGGGAATTTTCAGGGTGTTCAGTAACCCTACGGTTAACTAATACACCAGCAATTTTTAACAAATTTTAGGCTAGCCAGCTATCCTCCCCGCATCAGCTTTGTTAAATAGTAATTGGCATGCACAACTTTCTAATCCAAAAGAAAAAGTGCTCAAGGCATGAGAACCTTGGAGGATGTTCTGAAGAGTCACTGGACTCAAAACTGCTTCCTGCTTTCTTCCTAGATGCTGCCGGATTAGTTGAGTTTCTCCAGTAATTTCTGTTTTTATTTGGAGATTGTTAGTTAGGGCATTTACAAAGTTCTGTCCTACAGTGCCCTTTAAACCCTGGAATGGAATCCACCTGGTCCTGAGGATCAGCCGTTCTTTGGTGTCAACTGCTGCTAACTTTGCTTGTGTTAATTTTGATAGGTCCCTGTCCCAAAAATAGCTTTCTAAGGTTATCTACCTTGCTGACCTCTCTACAGCAAATATTAAGGCAAATTATTCAGCATGTCTACAATTTCCTTATCACTGAAAAATCACCAGTTTTCAAGGGGCACATTGCTTCTGATTATCTTGTTATTCCTAATGCAATTGAGAACATTTTTGGCTAAGGGGCAGGAGGTAGAGAATAGAGAGGATGGGATGCTTATCTAACTGGATAGCAGTGTGCAGCGAGGATGCCGGGGGTCTTTTTTTTTTTAAAAGTATACTTATCAATATATAAAATAGTGAGAAGGATATTGGCAGAATTCAGGAAGACAGACTGGGGAAATGGACAGCTAGTACAGATATAATTATTATTGGTAAGTATGTAATGAAGCATTCTGAAAGAATCAATATGGACAGGTAGTATAATCTAAATTCTGTGATGGAGTGCAAAACCAAAAGGCCCTGGGGGAAAATATTCACAGATGTTAAGGTGAAAAAAAAACTATTTTCTCCAGGAGGTGATTCAGAAATTAAGTTAAAGGTAAAAATAACTGGCAAAAGAACTTGTGGGGAAAACGAGACAAACCTCTTCAGAGGGCTGGGTCTCACTGTGGAAAGGATGGTGAAAACAAATTTCATTGGAATTTGCAGAAAGTAATCTGGCACGTACAGGAAGCAGACTCATTTGGGAGGGTTATGGGGTATGTTGCAGTGTGAGACCAAATGAAAAAGAGCTTTTTTGAAGAGCCAGGACAGATCAAACAGTCTCCATGTAGAAGATCCTATAACCTGCACGCAAAGTAAGCAAAACTTTTCATTCAAGGTTAGTTACCCAATATTTTCAAAATAATTCATTTACTATTACACCTAGACCCAATTCTTCCTTTTCAGTCAACAGTGAATTCTAGTTTATTAGTCTATACAGACTTTCAGGGAACAAAAAAAAGCAATCTACTATACAAATATTTGGATCATCCTGCTCTGCATGGTTGACTGCCAGAGTGTTACATTTGTCTTTTAGTTAACATAATCCCTCAATACGAAAGGGGAATTAACCAACAGATCTCTCCCGCCACACTTAACCCGTCAAACTGTTTTCACATGTTTTTGCATCATTCTTGTTTTTGATGCCTTTACTACACTAATGTTGGCTGCATATTGCAGCAATTAACACAGGTCACACTTGAGAATGTAATATGGCACTATATCTATCATCACAAGTCAAGAGTTTGACAAGGTCCAAACTTCCCATCAGATAAGACTTACATGAGTTCATTGTTCCTGATGATTTTGACTGCCACCTCCTGGCTAGCTCTTGCCATGTCTCTGGCACGTACGACATTACTGAAAACTCCTTGACCAGTGTAGCCATATACACTGTAACGTTTATCAAGAACTTCCCCAATATTTACACCTGCAAAACAAGATGAATATTTACAATTGGTCATAAATTAAGTAGTGATATTGGTGAAGGTGAGAACTTTTCTTCAAAGTGACTAACAAATGCCTGGTCAGGTTGACAAGATCAACAGCTTTCCTCTGAACTAATTTATTTTTGAATGTGTCATAGCTATTTGTTAATACTTCCTCTAACTGATTTATTTTGTGTTCTTTCTTCAGCAGCTTCTCTCCCCAGTTAGATCCCTATGTCATTACTCACCATAGAAAGCACCTGAAACAGCTCCTATGTTTCACAAGTGGATCAATTTCCCCTTGAACCTTTCCTCCCTTTCAGGAAGAAACTCATTACCTAATGTCAACATGGCTAAGATCTAGTTTGAATTACGCAGAATATCATGGAGAACAGATAGTCTTCCACTGTCAATAAACATAACCGATCAAAACATTTTACCATCTACAAATGCCAATTTTAATGGCTTGACTAAAGGACTGTGGTTTGATATTTAGAGCAGATACTGTAGCTTTTCATAATATGATCAATTGAAATGATTGGCATGGTCTTAGTTCAGTTTAACCCAAGACCTATAGATCTGTTCTAATTCCTTAATATCATTCGCAGCACGGTTTTATACCACTTTAGAGCCTGAATGCTCATTACCAAAGTATGGTCAAATGTGGGGTTGTGCCAGAGAGAAGTCACCATGGGACTCTTCTTATGTGCCTCCTGGAGGCCAGCTTAATGGCAGTCCTGGCAGATGCCTGGAAGGTCTCTTACTTGCCCTCTCAGCTGGAACTGGTGAGAGACTTGGAGAGCTGAATATGGGAAGAGAAAATAATTTAAAATCAACAGCAGCTTGCAGCAACTACCCACACCCCATCCCAAAAGAAAACTATTTGCTCCCTCACTGCTACAGCACTGATTAAGACAGCTAAAGACAGGCAAATGTAAATTTGTTAGCAGAGAACTCTTGACTATCAGTAGTTTAGTAAGGGTTTGCCCTTGACCTGAAAATCTTCGAAAACAGATAGTTTGGTGGTGCAAGTCATGGAAGCTGACTCAATATCTATAACTGCAGAAGCAGAAGTAGTGAACCTGTAAAAGATCTATACGATGTAGGATTGCCAGACAACATAGCCTGGCATATTTGGCCTGCCTCAACTCTTATCACAAATTAATTCTGATTTACAATGATAATTCTGAATTACTGAAACAAATCCAAAATTTCACTGGCAGTAGATGAGAATGTATTTTGAGCAAAGCTGTTCAATTTTAAGAACTCAGATAGCAAGAACTGCAGGCGCTCTGGTCAAAGAGACAGTATGGAGCTGGAGGAACACAGCAGGCCAGGGAGTATCAGAGGAGCAAGAAAGCTGACATTTTGGGTTGGGACCCTTCTTTAGAAACTTAAGCATTTCTACGTTCATCAGCATAGCATCAAGAAAACAAAATCTTTTTGACTCATCATTGAAATTATTGTCTGTTGGACAGTAACAAGGCAACTAGCGACAGAATCAGATACTTAACGACAGAACTTAATGTTTTGTTCATGTACTGAAGGAAACAAGTTTGAATTTGTGAAAAGAAAAACACAACCTAGAGAACAGATTTCAAACTGGAAGAACATTTTTGTTTCAGTCTTCAATTAAGATGAATATAATACAAGAGGTTCAAGGAAAACTAGACAATAATGCAATGGAGAAACTCCGGGATCAGACAGAAAAGCAGTCATTGCAACTTAATGGGAATAAACTAAACTCAAAAGAATTACCTAGATCTTAAGAAAGCTTGCACAAAATCATTAAAACAGGCAACGAACAAGCATGCATTAGTTTATAATCTTTCAAAGGTTATAATTCAGGGTGTGATAATCAGATGGTGGCAAGCATTAAATATAGGCAATAACAATAGAAAGTTCTGACAAAACTCATAAGATCTGGCAACATTTGTAGAGAAAGAGTCAATGTTTAAACCAGTCTAACTCCCCCTTTGTCAGATGTTGCCAGACCTGCTGAGTTTCTCCAGCACTTTGTTTTTATTTCATATTCCAACTATCCACAGTATTTTGCTTTTATTTAAATATAGATAGCTACTACTTCAGATGTCAGCAAAGGCTCATCAATATCACTTACACAAATTTTCCGAGGCTATTTGAATAAATATGCAGAAGAGATTGACATTCTATTATTCAGGGCACCTGGACTGCAGCAAGCTTGTGGTAAATATTTTCTAATCAACCTGTTCAGAGATGTTATTACACCCCTGTGGAGCAGATGAGACGACTTCAACCTGAGTCTCATGTCTAGAGGTGCATCTACTACCCTGCACCATAATGCCCCATAGCTGATCAGGAGCTAGTGGGTGGTCCTAGATTGGGAGAGAAGTGACATTGTCACACTGGCAGAAGTAGCACAGTGTTCTCCCACAGACAACATTAATGGCCTCAGTTTTCATTGGGTAAGAATGACAGCAGGTGCAGATTAAGAAATTAGGAGCCAGCATATTCTCATCACTAAAATGGCAGATAGGACCACTAAGGATAAATCAACAATTCTACATTCTAAGACAGTCTCTACACTCCAACACAGTCTGAGAGGATGACTACCAGCACAGTAACACTGAATTAACTGTACAATCTAAGTTTACATAGCAAACAAAACAAAGTTGATAAAATGCAACCACGTTCCTCTGAACATATGAATAGTGAAAACTCAACTCTACGTAGCCAACACAATATCCAACTTGTGTCTGCTTGATCCTGACCAACGAAATGCAGATGTGGAAAAAGGTCAAGCATTCGATAATCTTTACTACAAGAGAAATTACACTGGAGATTAAGAATCTCTGAATATATTTATCAGGACTATTTTACTTGATTTGGAAAAATAAGAATATTAGACACACTAATTCAAAAATTGCTGTAGAAACGAAGCCAGTCTGACAGCATCTATGGACAGAAAACAGAGTTAATGTTCTGAGTTCAGTGACCCTTCTTCAGTGCAGGACTTGAAATGGTGGCTGCACTTTCTCTCCACAGACACTGCCAGACCTGCTGCATTTCTGCAGCAATTTCTGTTTGTGTGTTTCAGATTTCCAGCATACCCAGTTCTTTGTATAATATTCCTCAAATAAAACAGTCACTTTCACCCAAAGTTTACTTCCAAAGCAAAGAAATCATAAAAAGAAAAAAAGCAGGAAATGCAGGAAGTACTCAGGTCCGGCAACAAGAAATCAAGAACATGCAATTTATTGCCTTTATGACCTCAGGATTTCCCAAAGCTCTTTCCTGTGAAATTATGTACTCTTGATCACTAATGTAACAGAAGGAAATTAAACAGCAAGATAAATTAACAAATCTTCTTTAGCAATGATGGTGTTTTGAGGGATAAATATTGGTCAGAATACCAGAATTGTCTTCGTCTTATCCAGCTTTCACCTCTACCTGGCAGGACAGGTGGGGCCTCTGATTAACATGACAGCATTTCACCTAGTACAGCAATGAAGTGATAGCCAAAAATAGGCAGTTTAGATAGAGTGCACATCACTTCATTAAGTTTTCTTAGCCACTTTCCAATACTTATAGGGAAATTACTTCTAAATACTCACGATAGTAGCCTTCTGCATCAGTCCAGTTATCCCTGAGATTGGGATTTTCTTTGAAATCCTTTCCAAACCCAGCAGCTCTCAGATGAGCACTCTGAAGACAAACATATATGCTTTAGATTTCAAGGTTTTGTTGATCATTTATGCTTCCAGCGGATACAGTTGAGACTCATAATCTTCCCCCAATAATATTCATTCCCAATACAAGATTACGTTAATAAATACTTTGAAAAACAATGTTGAAAACCAGTGTAGATTGCTGAAAAGGTGTGTTATCTTGATCAAGTGTATAGAACTTTTTTTCCAGGAAGAGAGGAAATGCTTCATTTTCAAAAACTGATTTGCTAAAACACAATGTCAAGTGATATCTATGGCATATAACGATTAAGCAAAATTAAGATAAATCTAATTGCTGTTCAAAAGAATCATGATCATTGTTCTCAAAACATTTGTGGCAGAGAACTGTGTATCCTAACCACTTTTCTCTATTTCACACTCCAATCTGTTCCTTTTACCAGTGGAGCAGTCACTCCAGACAATCAAAATATTATCACAACTGTTCATATTCTTGAAGGCTGTTAGTGGACAATTTCAACCCGAGTAGAAAAAACCCACATTCTTAATTCTCTTCAGGCAACCCCACATCTCTGGTAACATCTTAAGGAATCCAAAATGCAAATTTTTAATTGTCTTTATAGCTCTCGTGATAGGGTGCACAATACTACTGAAGGTTGAGAGAAGTTATCTACACAGTTTTGCACAAGCTCGTTACCACCTTTTTTTGGTTTGTATGTCTCCACATGAAAACAAACAATAGTGTTATCAAACGGCTGTACCTACTTCTTTTGCTACCTTTGATTACACTGTGTATTTGCACATTAAGGACTAGTATTCCACTTAAAGTTCCGTGATTTAAGGATTTGGTATTATTTCCAAAATGCATTGCTTTATTTTTTTTTAATATATTGAACCACATATGCTTTCCCATGCTAGCCGTTTTCCATGCACCATGGCGAATGTAGGAGTTACGAAAATTTTCTACTGTGATTTTGTGAAGCTGCTTGGACGTTGCATTTTGTGGAGGATAATTTAGGATAAAATTTTTAGGCTCTTTCAGAGGAAACAGATATAATCCAAGAACTACAAGTGTTACTCATTGGCAGGTACATGACTGGAATTAAAGCATCTCTGAAACTTGTCAGAAACAGTAGGTACCTGATACTGCATAGTAAGTTAGCAAGTTTCTAAATTAAATTTTAGTTCAATATCATAAAAATAAAGAGATGCCCCTAGATACATTTGAAGAAAGTTACTTTACTCATAATGATGCACAAAACATGAATTTGTTTCTCTGTTGTGTGTTACTTTGGCAGTTAATTAAAATTAAAACATTTGGGTTGTATTTACTGAGAAAATTGGGAGAGAGATTAAAATATAACTGAAATATAATTCTGCCCCAACACTTCACAGATTTTGCTTCAAAATAAGTTAGGTGTGAACATCTTTCACAGCAGAAAAATGTAAAGACAGAAACCATGCGCATGAGATTTAAAGAGGAAAGCCAAAAGGTCAGAACAACTATGGAAGAAATCATTTTGGAAACAAAAACTAACCCAGTTACAAGCATAATGTTTTGATTTTGTACATTCTTGCCCTGCAACTTGGAAGTGGCATTCTCTTGAAATTTCAAACATCAGGCATGACACACACTCCAGCTTACCAACCAATAAAACAACAAGGCTTTTGCAAGGGTCACAACTTTAGATTTGGTAGCAACAAAGACTTAGGCTTTAAATGCCGTGCTTACATTTGAAGTAAAATGGTCTGGTTGGAAGTTCAAAAGATTCTGCTCAACATAATCTAAGAATTGATATTTGAAGCACTATAAACTATTAACAGTTAACATTCATCATTTACACTCAGGGGTGAACGGGAACTGGCTTGACCACAACCTTTGGCAATGCATGAACACTTTAGAAAAAGGTAGAACATACATACATCAAAGTAAGCAGCAAACATGTCATCAGATTCAGTAAACATATCTGGAACCGTTGGCTTTTTCAAAGTAGCTCCTGCAAATAAAATTAAGTTCAGACAGGATCTTCAAATACAAATCTAACACTGCCAAATAGTACAAATTCATTTGCACAGAGAGCAGAGAGAGAGAAAACACAATCTGTATATTTAAACCATCAGGAAAAGTACCAACTCTCAAAAAATGTATGCGTCATACTTTAAAAATCAAATTGCTGGAAAACGTACAGACTTGAAAAGGATGTTGGAGGTAAAATACAGATGCAAAGGACGTAAATTCTTCAACATAGGATTCATTTCTTACCGCTGGGTACAGAAAACATACCATTATTGCACTGATTGCAATTGGGCGCACTTCCATTGTCACTGCTTTAAGTCATGCACAAATTAAAAGTTGTGCACTATGACTTTTATTTGAAACCTTTTTAACGTGCTTCCTGGAATACTGGTAGGAATGGTTTTTCTTGCAATGAATATTTGATCAAAAGTAACAACTGTGGTTTGAACAGGGAGGGATGAGTTTGTTACTAATTTTGAAGGTGTAGCTTTCCTATGCTGCTTCCTAAAAATATCCAGCATAGATTTCAGCCAGCATCAAAATGCTTTGTGTCAACAACAGCCAACTCCATTATTCTCTGTAGTACATCAGACAGAAAACTGTACATTACCAACTAAAATGGGCAGATCCTTAGATAGCTATAATGGCCTTGAGGGCATTCATGACTGATTACTGAACCAACTTCACTGGCTGGTGATGCTCACCATTTGTCTGCACCTGGCAAAAATCCTTGGTCATGGCTAATTTTACTCAAAGACACCTTGATGAATAAATCATGTTAACTATGCTGGGTTTTATTTGAAGCCACGTGCAGCAGGTGTTTTCTCAGATTAAATGGGAGCTGTCTCTTTGATGGACACTTCTTCATCTACTCGGTGATGGCATAGTCTTAAATGACTAAGAACTCTCGGGTCGAGAATGAACCAAGTGATACAGGAAACAAAGCTTACAAATCTGTTTCAGAGCCACTAGCTACTAGACTGCCAGAACCGAGGTAAAACCCTGAATGCAAGCTGAACCTCTAATTGCTGCAGAAATGATGAAAGCCTCTATGAGGTACCCTTCAAAGTTTCATTTACTGACATAGCTATAATGAAGTGATCATTTAACTATCCCTGTCTATACGATTCCCTAATGGACGAAGAAGGATTTCATGCCAAGCAGCAGTTTCCAGTTTCTGCACTAGGATCATCCAAACATGGATGACAGTTTAGCAGCCAAGATGACTTTTCAGAGAAAATAGGTTGTTATCTATGTCTGCACAGGTGAGAACTTAATTTCACTGTAAAATCATAATTAAAGGAGGAAGATGCAATGGTAATCAGTAACTTTAAAAGGTATACTGCACATGATGGATATTTTAAATCTGGAAACCAGAATCAACCAGCTCTACACTGGAGGTCAACCCAATTAACTTATCCCTTGGCAGACTATAAAGTAATATATCATGAAAAATTATCAAAGAACCCAACAGAGCTACGAATTAAAAACAAATAATCCAGGCTTTTCTCTAAACCCAGGAAGACAATGGGAGAAGATACAGAACGGTTCACAGTAGTAAGTGAAATAATTTTTGGTGCCAAATTCTATTCTTTGTTTGGACTGAACTGCTGCTCTCAGCCAGGGCAGGAACTTAGGAAGAGATAGTAGGAACTGCAGATGCTGGAAAATCTGAGACAACAAAGGTGTAGAGCTGGATGAACGCAGCAGGCCAAGCAGCGTCATAGGAGCAGGAAGGCTGACGTTTCGGGCCTAGACCCTTCATCAGAAAATTTTCTGCTTGGCCTGCTGTGTTCATCCAGCTCTACACCTTGTTATCTCAGGAACTTAGGAATGCTGGTTTCAGTGCCCCTAAGATTGGATGCCAGAAAATTGGGTCCCAGTCACAAGCAAACTACCAATCCATGCTGAACCAGTATAACAAATGTCATCCGATGACAGTATTGGACTTGGTTGGATAATCCCACAGCGTAAAAACCAAATAAAGCTCAAACTTGAAGTACTATAAATTTGGGGAAGGTACGAAAAGGGACTTGGCCATCACAGAACTAGAGCTTGGCATGAAGCCAATATTGTTGGAGTGCAAAAGGGAACAACTGAGTTAAGCAAGAGGGGTAAAATAAATAAGTTGTGCATGGCAGCTTTATTTGTCTCATTGTCGAAAATGGAGTTGAGACTACAAACTTGAAGTGAAGCCAGGAAGACGTTAAATGGGGAATAACGTTCAGGCTGCAATATGTTAAATAATACTGCAAATCCAATCCTAGTCTCATTTCTGAATCCCACCTTCTTTTTGCTCTAGTGCCATGAGGTTGCGTTTAGCATTCACAGAAGCCTCAAAGGTATCAACATTCTCCCTTTCGTACTCCTTGACATCAGCTGCAGCTCGCTCAAAAATGTCATCAGGAGAAGGAGAGCGGCTTCTAGTGCTGCTCTGAGGACTGTTTGGTTCAGACAATCCAGACATGTTGCTGTCTTCATTTGGGTTTCTATATTTCTACAAAACAAGAGAAACGAGTTTCAGTTACAAACGTTGCCTCATCCTCGGGTCTTATTCTTTAAGGTTATGCTTTAAAAGCAAGACAACCAGCAAAACTTGAACATGCAAGAAATGAAAAGAACCGCTTATCATAAATATAAAATACGCATAGTCTGTAGATTGAACTCATTACGGCTGCATATGATTAGATTCATAAAAACATAAGTAAATTTAGAACACAAGAAATTTGGGAGTAAACCTCCGACACCACAGCATAAAAGTACCAAACTGTGTTGTTTCATGGTGACAAGCTGTAAAGTTTTCAGATTCAGCTCTAGATGAATATAAATCAAGACAGGTTGCAGGGAAGAAAGATTCTTAATTTTTAAAATGATTTTGAATAGATCACACAAAGCAGTACCAAGTACAGGTCTGATCTCGATACTAGAAAGAGGATGTTAAAGTACTGGAGAAAATACAAAAAATTCAAAATTGCCATCAGAATTCAGAGGGTGCAACTATCATTAGAAGATAAGTTGGGAATCATTTTACTGGAGAAGAGATCAAGAGGAGACCTGACAGAACTCAAACCATGAAAGGATTTGAAAGGGTGCCTGTGGAGAAACCACTTCTGCTTGTGGGGTTATAAGATACCAATTAACAGATCAAATTTAAAAAAAAAAAGAATGTATTTACCTGAAGAGTGAAAAGAATGTAGAATTCATGAAGCAGATAGTATCGATACATAAAAAGTCATAATACATACACAAGGAAGAGGTGATCGGAGGAAAATGAAATCAAGGTGGAAGGTGGTAATCGGTGACTGAGGATGGTCACTCAAATGACATATCAAAATTAAATTTTACCCCACTCCCAAGTTAAACCACTGACATTTTCACAAATGCACAGCTCACATCATCCATCAAAAAAGGATTTAACAAGACAAGATGCAACTATAAAGTGTGCCATCTTCTAGTTTTTAAAATTTAGGATTCCGAGCCATTTAATGCACAAAATGTCTCTTTGGAGCCAAGAGAAGCCACTTGTAGCAACAACACTAAATTGTTTCTTAAAAAAATAATTACTATTTCTAGCCAAGGAAACAGACAATAGATTCTGTTTTGATTTAAAAGTAGAAACTAAAACTTGATGCCATACCTGAACAATTGCCAGTCTCTGTTCACGCCTTTGTTGGATAACGGCTTCTTCGTCTTCCTCCTCTACATCAAAATCCTCAAGACTAAAGGCAAAAAACAAACAGAAGTGTTACATACACAAAACGAAGCTAAACACAAGTTTAAAACAAGGCTTGTAAATCCCCATATGATTTATCTAATATTCAGTTTTGACAGCAATATTCTTCCAAATCAGGATGGTGTAGGGTTTGGAGGGGAACTTACAGGTGGCTCCATTTTGCAAGTTTATTAATGTTGCGTAAGTTGCCACACCCTCTACACAATTAACTACATCTCCCAAATTCGGCATCAGTCATAAAGCTTGGAATGGCATTTCTGATTTAGAGACCAAATATTTTGAGGAAATGATGAACATATCAGCACAAATCCTCTGAAACACCACCTTCCAACATTTTCCAGTCCGAGCAGTGACTTTTAACATCTATCCAGTTTTATATTGTAGTCAGCTATTTATTCTGCTCCCTATCCTTTGATTCCACTTTTCAACCTTCGTGTTGAATCTATTAGGTGCTTCTTTATCAAACACCTAAAAACTCAAATATATTATAACTACTCCTCTAGTCTGCTCCTTTTTCTTCAAGTACCTCAAGAAGGTTGTTAAAGCACGATTATCTCTTTTTGAAAAACTTTACATACAACATTTAAAAATGTATTGTGATCCCAGTTGATGGCAATACTGGGCAACTAAGATCTCAGTGAAACCTGGCTTGATGGATTACAAAGTTCAATTTTTGCAGTTGGTTAGTCACTGAACGTACTACACAAGGCTACCAATGTTCTTTAACCCTAGAACAAAATTTATCATACCAAAGAAAGAAAAACAAAGCTATATTTATGGCAGTTTAGAAAGATCTTAAAATAAACTGGAAACAAAATTTCAACCTGTTTCCCAGGAATGTCTTTTTAACAGATACCCAATTCTGGAGAAATAAATCACTCCTATCTCAACTCATTAATTGCTGACTTGACTAATTCTTTCTATTTGTCCTTCTTGGACTGCTGAGACAGTTAGGACTTTACAGTTCTGCTAGCAAGAAGTTCCCTTCAGTTCTGATGTTTTCAGCTGACAACTTGGCATCTTCTATATAAAATCTGACAAATCAGATTTCTGTTAGGGTGACCGCTCTCCTGACTAAAACTCCTGCTCTTTCTGAACTGCACCTTAAGTAGAGGCCTGTGGTTCAATCACTCATGAATTCAGCACAGAGACAGCTAGACAGCATGGAAACAGGCCCCTCGGTTCAACTCGTCCATGCCTATCAGTTATCCTAAATTAATCCTAACTTAGTCCCATTGGCCAGCATTGGCCCATATCCCTCTAAACCTTTCCTATCCATATACCCATCTAGGTGCCTTTTAAAATGTTTAATTGTACCAGCCTCCACCACTTTCTCTGGCAGTTCATTCCATACACGCACAAACCTCTGCATGGAAAAGTTGCCCCTTAGGCCCCTTTTAAATCTTTCCCCTCTCACCTTAAACCTATGCCCTCTAGTTTTGGCCTTCCTCCTCCCTCTCCCTCTCCCCCCACCACGGGAAAAGACCTTAGCTGTTCACCCTATCCAGGTTCATGATATTATTAACCTTTATAAAGTCACCCACCAGCCTCTGACACCTTAGGGAAAATAGACCCAGCCTATTCAACCTCTCCCTATATCAGCAGTTTATCAGTTAAACACCACAGATATCCTAAGCATTTGACTGAACCACATGCTTTGTTGGAAATGTTTTCAGGTTGCTGTCCTAAATGGTTGACATTTTAAAACAAAAACAGTTGCCCTCACAGAACTGAAGCCAATATCCGCTTCTATTTAAGAATCAAATTTCTAAAAATGATAATATCTTGTACATTTTTATCACAAAAGCCATTCGTAAAACCAATAAGCAGCAAAGAAGGATGCCACATTAAACTACAAACAGAAAAGCTAACTTAATCACAAAATCTTAGTTTTCAGTTCTATTAAAATAAGTTGATAGTGGAGGAAAGGCCCAATATTTCTAATAGTTAGCACTTATTTTGTGATTTGCGAGCTAAAATTTCTCATCCAATGGTACCACATTTAAGCTTCCCTGTAAATAACAGTTATGCTGCGTAACTGAGCAGTGACCACCTTTTCCCAATTCAACCACTTATGTTCAGCCTGCATTACTCTGGATGGAGTTACATTTTGGCCTGTCTTACATAAATCCTCATACTGTATCGTGTTCTATTATTGTAGCACACTTTTAAACAAAAAAATCTTACTTTTCGTCAGAGGATTCTTGTTCAACTTTCATTCCTTCAGAAAGACTTCCTTTAAATTTGTCTTCTTTGTCCCTGCTTCCACTTCTACGTCTGCGTCGATCTCGTGACCTCGATCGCCTTCTGCGAGATCTGCTTCTTCGATTCCAGTCTCTCTCCAGAGACCTATTAGAGAAAAAGGTAGATAGGTATGCTAACTTACCATGTCTCAAGACGTAATGTGAAATTCCAGAAGCCACATATAAATGCAATCATAACAGTAAAATCAATAAATTTTAAAATGCACAAATTCTCCAGTTAAAATGCATCACAAAGTAAATTCCCAAGAAAGTAGCACAAACATTGTTCCAGACCTTTTTTTTTTGAGCGTAGCAGATTTATTTTTCACCAACTGCCGGATCTCCGTGAATTAAAATTTACATTGCCGCTTGTTCCCAAGTGTATCCACAAACATCCACACCCTCCACCAATGATGTTCAATGTAAGCAAATGTGTACTATCTGCAAGACGTATTGCAGGAGTTCAAAGACCCGGAGTACTTTCCAAACCCACAACCGCTTCCATGTAAAAGGATAAGGACAGCAGATACATGGGAACACCACTGCCTGTAAGTTCCACTCCAAGCCGCACCATCCTGCTGTGGAAATGTATCGCCATTCCTTCACTTTCAATGGTCAAAATCCAAGAATTCTCCCCCTGATGGCACTGTAGATGTACCTTCAAGTAAGCATCTCACCACCACATTCTCAATGGCAACTAGGGACGAGCAATAAATCCTGCTCAGCCAGCAAAGCTCACTCCCAAGAGTGAACAAAAATAAAAATATATTTTCCACTGCTAGGTTTGGTTCTAGCAAGGATCGCCGCACCAACTGCGAAAGTATTAATCTTTTGGTGGTAGTAACAAAAGGTGGAATGCACTGTGTTGCCAAAGAGAAGAAAATGGCTTTACACGTCAGTTCCCTTAATGACCCAAGATCGTGCCTAGACACAGAACCAATAAACTCCCCAAATGTACTGCAAAGAATAAGCAGATGTCACGTATTTGTAAACAACGTTTGACAAGGTGTCACAGGAATCTCAGTAAAATTGAGGTCAGTTTAGAGATCAACTCACCCAAAATCTAGACGTGCACACAGAAGGTATTATACACACACACACAACGAAACATTAGCATTGCGAAAAGGGCCATAAATAATTAATGATTCAGGCAGGTCAATAGTCCTGACAGATGAAGGATTGAAATTAACACAGTGAATTGTGAAGTAGAAGGAAAGATAAACAATAGAACTATGGGCAGAGTGACTTAGTGGTATGGCAACTGTTCTTCTCAAGACCGCAAGAAACTACAGAGAGTCATGAACACAGCCCAGTCCATCACATAAACCAGCTTTCCATCCACTGACTCCATCTATACACGCTGCTTCCTCAGGAAAGCATCCAACATAATCAAACATACCTCCCATCCCAGTTATACACACGTCCAAACTCTTCAGTCGGGCAGAAGACAGAAGTTTTAATATACACAAAAAGATTCAGGAACAGCTTCTTCCCCACTGTTATCAGACTTTTGAACGGACCTCTCAAGTATTGTGATCTCTCTCTCTCTGCACCTTCTCTCCAGCTGTAACAGTATTCTGCACTGTGTCGTGCTACTCTAATGCACTTTGTATGGTACGATCTGCTAATATATCATGCAAAACACTACTTTTCTCTGTATCTTGATACATGCAACAATAAATCAATTATTATGGTTCACATATACCAGTAATTAAACGCAAGACAGCAAGAATTATTCTTAAAAGAGAATGACAGTCTGTTTATAAACCTTAGAATCTAGAGTAAAAATAGTAAAAAAAAATCCAGACACAAGGCTAAACCAATACAACCTGTGGTTAGACCACAACTGCCTCATTTTTCAATCCCACTCTAGGAAAGTTATGAAGTTACAGAACAGAGAGTTTTAGTTAGAAGAGAGTAGAAACTAAAGTTATGAGGCTGTCAGATGGAGTGTTATGAAGAGCTTTGATCAGTTGAAAAATGCATAACCATTTTCACACACTGAATTGCAAGCAGAGAACAGACTCATCACCAAAATGACAAAAAGGAGTTGTTTTGTATAGAAGAATATACAGAAGGTTATCAATGTACCTTGTAAGCAGCAAGCCAGAAGGTACCACATGTGCTACACCCTTTATGATACAACACATGCATGGCTGAGCACAAAGTTAAAAAGGAACTGGGAATTCAGATATGCAAATCACGAACAACAGAAAAATTTAAAGCAGTCAGTGGCTGTTAGGAATCAGAATGCCTTGTGAGAGAACAGTACGAGAAGCAGCAATAAAGGAAATTAGACATTTTTTAAAACTGCTAAGTTTAGTCTAGTGCATAAAACCAGATAAGACTTCCAGAAAACTGCTGACATTATCTTATAAAATTCTAGGATTGTCATTTCAGCAATTAAGACTAACTCAAGCACCCATTTCCAAAGCATAGAAGGTAACAGGATAGGTTATGCAGAAAACCATCCTTTCCCATTTCCATTGCGCAGAAAAGACAAGACGTTCAACTAAAACGACAACTTTGCATGCTAGGAAATGTTTTAACCAATTAACCTCAGGAAAGATAAAAATTGTGCACAGAATTTGATTTTAAGAATACAAGATGAAAATAATATCTCTAGAAACAACTGTAGACAAAAAACAGCAACTTAAACTGAAATGTTCGTTCTATTATCCAACATGCACTGTATTCAGAAATTTCAGTACATTTCAAAAGCAAATTTAATTTGCACCTAATTCAAATATGTTGCTTTTTGCATCAAGTTTAAATCAAAATTGATGAATCTGGTAAAAACAGGAAAATTGAACCATCCCGTCAATGTACTAAGAAGTGAAGAGCCTGAACAGAAATGCTCAATTCTTTGGATTAATCAAGCTTTTATTCTGCAGCTTAAAGAATTAAATCTTGTAATGCAAGTATCAGATGAAGCATTTCTGTTATTGTAATGCTGATTATTAATATTTATTTTAAAATGTTGGTTATGACAGAAAATTAGTTCAAATCCAAATTATTCATATATTCCGGAATCTTACAATCCCAAGATACAATTTGTCCCCAATTACCCAGAAGTTTATAATTTCCAGAAAAATATTTAATTACCTCCTCCTTGATCGACTTCGTCTCCTTGGAGATCGACTTCGTCTGAGGAGTGAACGAGATCTCCTCCGGATAGGAGATCTGCTGGCTCTTCTCCGTGCTGGAGACCGCCGACAGGAGCTTACATCTCTGGATCGCTCTAGTCTACTTGCTGGTTCATCTCGTGACCTTGTTCTAAAGTTGACAAACAGAGAATACTTCAGTAACAAATGCTGAAAAGTTGTTAAAATATGAACACAAATATTCTGTGTGGGCTGGCTCCAAAGCCACAATCAAACTGTTCTGTTGCAAGGATATAACTTGAGAAACCCTCACGCAAGGCCACTTGCAGTCAATGTGAATGCTTCATCAAATTATGGCAGTGTATTCTAACTTGAATATGCATTAACAGGAACCATATTAAAACACCAATGGAATTTTTACAAATTTAGGCCCCAGAAAATAGAACTTATACTTCCAGTTAAAAATGCTAAGTTCCAAACTTTTAGAATTCCTGCAAAGAATGCAGGATAACAACATTCCTTCTTTAACACCAGAATGCTATGGACTGTTATTTATTTACATGTTGTTGAATGGGAAGGTTTTTCAGAATTATAACTGATCAGTCAGAAATGGCACACTGTTGAGCAAAACAAAAATCAAAACATTAACACAACCCAATTCCTTGTAAGCTTTAGCCAGTGTCTCTATGCTACTTATGAACCTTCAGTAATCTGCGTGCATAGTAACACCTAGATCTTTTTGCTCAAACTCTTTCAGTACTGCTCCCTGCAAGTGACGTGTATTCAGCATTGGAGCCGAGCAACAAGCATGACACTTTTCCCCCAAATTAAACAATTAACATAGTGCAAACCAACTTCCTAATACATTTAAATCCCTGCATGAAAATACATAAAGATTATATTTTTATTTCTGGATAGGTTCACCCTCCCCAGGTGTTAATTAAGTTGGCTTAGGAAAGGATGATCCCTACTCTAACTCACTAACAGAAAATAAGCTTCCATGTGACCATATTCTATGCTATGCTACTGTTTCACTAGTCACTAGAATTTAAAAAATGTCATGGTTTCTTCTCTCCCAGCAGAGTCCTCTGCAAGACAAGTGAACCTGTGTAAACATTTGCAGGTACATTAACACTTACATCAAATTAAGACGGAAGTAGTCAGATCCTTTTCTGCATTAACATACTAATTCAGTATGGGGAGACAATGGCCTAGTGGTATTATCGCTGGACTGTTAATCCAGAGACCCAGAAAACAGTCTGGAGCCCAGGTTCAAATCCCGCCATGGCAGATGGTGGAATTTGAATTCAATAAATACCTGGAATTGAGAATCTAAATGATGATCATGAATCTATTGTCGATCATCGGAAAAACCCATCTGGTTCACTAATGTCCTTCAGGGAAGGAAGCTGCCATCCTCACCTGGTTTTACCTACACGTGACTCTAAACTCACAGCAATGTAGTTGACTCCTAACTGCCCTCTGCTGCCTAGCCAGCGACTCCCTCATCCCATAAATAAATAAAAGAAAAGAAAAGTACATGGCAAAGGACACCATTTTAACATGATACAGGTTGCCAGTCAAACAGCGTCTGGACTACTGCCCTTTATTTTGGTCTACCCCCTTCCCACACCTTGATTAATGCTAGCTTGTCCTTGGAAAAGGTTCTGAGGAGTCACAAGAACAAGAACAATTCCTGGATTAAAGAACCTTAACTATTCAAGAAAGACTCAAGAACGATAGTAATTTACAGCAGCAGAACAGGAAGCAATCTGATCAAAAACTATAACAATTCTGGGCTAGGATATTGTGCCTATTGAGAAGGATTATTTCAGTTTAATAGATGGAGGATGATGAGGGATATAAATTTAGTCTATGGAAGAACAAGAATAGACTCTGTCAGGTGGGTCTCCTTTTCCTGAAGGATAGCGAGTCTCTGGAATTCACCGTCGCCGAGAGCATAGGTGTTGCATTTCTGCATGCCTTGAAGGGCTGAACCAGTCCTTAAAAGTGGCAATGATCTCGATACGGAATTAAATTTTTTAAAAAGGTAAGTGTCATAGGTCAATGTGATCTATTGGAATAGTTTTGATCACTTGGAGGGTCTGGAAACAATTTTCCAGAAGAATATTTTCCTTAGTATTCTGTGTTTTGTCTATTTGCAGAAACTTTTATCTGAGGGGTGAGGACAGGGGACGAGAGAAGAAAGGAAGCATTTAGTCTGGACACACTGGCCAAACTGTGGTGCAGGCTCAATTAAACAGTTGGTCTTTCCTGCCTGGCAATTGTGTACGTTCACGTGTTCCCTTCACTAATGGTGTCCAATCACTACGTATAGCCAGAGATTTTTGCCCAACTAACTGCAAATTAATGCTTTTATCTCAGAGTACTCAACATTTCGGCTGTAATATTAGCTTGGTACAGTATTCCGAATTCATCCATATCATTCCTGACAACATCGATACCTGACAAATTCTAGCTAGATGTTGAGGAAGGATTACTCAACCCAAAACATTAACCCTGACTTCTCTCCACAGATGGCACCAGACCTGCCGAGCTTTTCCTGCAATTTATATTTTTGTCTCAAACTCTAGCTAGACTTTGGACTACAGAATTAATCTCCTAAGCAAGCAGTTGTCTAGTTTATCTCCATGTTTGAGACATTTCAGACACACTGAAATGCTGACTGCATTACCCAGTCAGTATTTTGAAAGTATGTATAGTTGCTGACAGGCAGGAAAAGACCAACTGTTTAATCAAGCCAGCTCCACAGTTTGATGGCCAGAGCATCCAAACTAAATGCTTCCTTTCTTCCCTCACCCCTCAGATACAAGTTTCTGAAGATAAACAAAATATCTAGAGGTAAGAAGATTCTGCACATTATTTAAATTAAATAGTATTTAATCAGAATACTATTCCGTTACAATGGGCTTTTTGCAGTAGGTTCAAGGTCAAATGTATGAGACCTCAGCGCAAACTGTCATAGGTGCTGTACAATCCAAGTGTCCCCAAATTTGTGCTGCGATGTCAAAGTGCTAACCAAGTTGAGAGCAACAATTCTGCAATGCCTCGCTCAATGGTAATAGAAAAAAGTAACAATGGAAATGGCTGCACAGGAAATACATGATGAAAACTGATATATTAGAAAGTTAACTACTATTGTACATTTGACTGTCTCAAATAAGGGTGCTGCATTACCTTGGAGACAAAGCTCTTGTTCGTTCACTCTCCCTCCGCCTCTGTTCTATAGATCTACTTTTAGCTCTTCTTGGTGGGGACATATTCCGTGAAGGAGACTGACTCTTTTTAGGCGCACGATCATTAATAATGGGTGATCGGCTATGTTTGGATGACTTTTCTCTATGTTGTTTTGGAGAAAGGCTTTTCCTTTTGGGAGAAAGTGCATGTTTCTTGAGTGGTGATCGATTCTCCTTCCCAGAAGGAACATCCTTGGATGGAGACTTCAGAGACTTTTTTTCCCTCTCCATCTCAGATTTTCTAGATCTCTTTTCACGGTCTTTGGACTTGGATCTCTGACTTCTCTCTCCTGACTTGCTCCTTTTCACTGGAGGAGATTTTGATTTTTTATTCCGTTCCTTTGTTTTGCTTTCATTTGTTACATTCTTGCGATCCTTTGACTTTGTCCCATCTTCAGCTGGAGTTGATTTTTTACTCTTTTCTTGAGATCGTCTTTTCACAGATGTTGGAGACCTTGGTTTTTCTCCAGGCTTACTGCTTTTGATGGGACTCCTTGAACGCTTTCGCTCGTGTGATTTACTTCTTGTTTTCTCTTTCTCTTTTTTGTGTTCCGAACTCAGCCTATTTTTCTTTTTCTCAGATTTGGTATGTTTAGTCCTGTCTTTTGATCTACTTTTACTTCGTCTCTTTGAAACAGGCTTGGATTCTATGGGCTCTCGTTTAACTTTGTTGTCCCTAACAGGCAAGATTTCAGAAACGTCACGATTGGATGCAACTCTTTCACCATTCCGAGTCTTCTCGTGGATTTCCCCCTCTTCCTCAGAGTCAGAAACATAACCCTGCAGAATTAAACCCATGCCAGACTGAACCTTCCCTCCCATTAGTTCACTGTCCAATTCGGCTTTTATCATTGCCCTTTGTTTTTCTAAGTCCTCCAAAAGAGCATAATCATCTAATTTAGGTCTTTTTATTGTGTGATCACCATCCTTCTCAAAGCCTTCACTCTCTTTCCTTTTATGCTTTTTATGCTTGTGTTTGTGCTTATGTTTTCGCTCCTTGTCATCTTCTGAAGAATGCTTATGCTTCTTGTGTTTACTCCGATGCTTGTGTTTCTTTTTCTTGTGTTTAATGGATTTGCTTGCGGCTGTATTTGGATCTCGATTTTCATCCGACACTTCCCCATTCTCTTCATTTCCACTTTTTTCAGAAGAATCTGCAGCTTCCTGACTGCAAAAATAGAAAAGATGTTTAACCAAAGCAATGACAAAGATGCTTAGCAGAGAGAAAAATAAACCAAGACAATTGGAGCTTACTTTTAGATCTAAACATTCATTGCAATAGTTTGGCCGTGATTCATTTTTTACCCCCGCACAAAAAACCCTCCAAAGCAAAGCATCGACACAGCCTAAGGAACACTATTCCATAACCAGCCTGCACACCACCACAGCCAATCACTAGCAGCTCTCCAGTGGTTACATAGCCCTGAACATGCCAATGGGATTCATGTACAGCCAAGGAGCATCCCACAACTTATCTTCAAGGTTTCTGCAACATTTGTTAAGGGTCTTAACTTCTAGTTTGCAAGAGCATACATCAAGAATTTGCTCAAAAATAATGAACATGCATCTACAATGCATTATCAAATGAACTAGTAACTAAGAATGAACAGTACTTCCACATTCACACTGAACACCTCATTGCACAAACAGCTTAATAAACTGTGGGTGTTTTGAATTCAGTTCCTCTGCTGAGATTGAAACATGCACGAACTCTTTAGAAACACCCAGAATACCTTGCCTGTACCCCAATCCAAAAGCTGTGTGTGTTATCTTTATTTTTCTGGGTACTGTACTTAAAATTACCCTGACATTTCTTTAGCAGGTCTTGTGACACTGCCATGCCATACATGATTGAACTGAAATAGTACCATCAAGTGGACTTCATTTCTTTTTCTTGTAACTTCTCACTTAATTTCTATTAAAAATGAAATATTGAATTTTAATATGGGCTCATTTCTGATGTTAAAATACAAATTTAATAAAAGATAAATCAAAGAGAAAATGAAAACAGAAAACTAAACCCCAATTAAGCTTGTGTCCTTTTCTGTATAAAGTTAAAAATAAAGATATAGGAGCAGATTTCAGTCATTCAGCCCATTGAGTCTGCTCAGTCATTCAATCATTGCAGATGTGTATGGCTTCATAACGAACATACTACAGTATAACAAAAGCTTCCAAGACGTACAGGAAAGAAAATAATTAGGACATAATGTAATTTCTTGAACTCGGAAAAATAAATAAAAACAACTGTAAAGTTCAACTTAGAAAGCAGAATGTGAAACGCTTGATCTGCTTTGTGTATGACTATTTTCTATTGGTGCAAATTTGGACTGAGCTGTTCATATTTTTGTTTTGTGATATAAAACCACAAAACTTTGGAACACGAGACAAGTTCTGAAGCTTGTAAAACAAAAAAAAAAGACTTTTAAGAAACGGTCCTAACCTTAAGTACACTTCAATTTATTTAGCTTGAATAGTGGACGATCAACATCAACTGATTTTTCCTATAACATCAGGACAATGGACAAATGCCGACTTAAACTGTAATTTACTGTAATTTGTATACACTTGTCTTCAGTTTTCCCACACATTCCAGGGATTTAATTTGTAAGACCACAGAAATAGGAACAGTTGGCCATTCTGCCTCTGCCATTCAACAGGATCATGGCTGATCTGACATTCCTCACATCCATTTTCGTGCTGTTTTCCTCATAACCCTTGATTTCCCAAATGATCAAGAATCTAAGTCTTAAAAAAAAAAGCAAGGTCTCTGCTACAACAGCTCTGTGATAAGGAGTTCCAAAGATAACCTTCAGAGAAGGAATTCCAACTTACTGCAGTCTTAAATTGTCACCACATGATTCTGACACTATGCCCTCTGGTTCTAGCCTTTCCCAAGAGAGGAAGCATTCTCTCAGAATTTAACCTGTCAAAGCCCTTAAGAATCCGACATGTTTCAATGAGATTGACTGTAATCTTCTTTCCAATGTGGAACAGATCAGGGAACAGCTGTTTGGGAGGTACAGTGTTGTGGACCTTTAACTGTGGGATTAGTTTTTCATGTTAAAAAAAGGGACATGAAAAGATTCATGGGATTCTGGGAGTTATGCATACCGGGACTGTGTAAAGAGCAAGATGTTGAATTCGACAAAAACAATTCAGTGAGATAACAACAGTTGCACCACACTTTAGGCACTCAGTAAGGATGCTAAAATACTTTTAAGTACAGAAAAGATTCATAAGAATGCTACCAGGAATAAAAGATTATAGTCATAAAATATTTAGGAAAACATTTGGAAAGGAGAGAAGACTGGGCATTGCATCTAGAAAACAAAATCTGTCCCATGAGTATACTGTGAACAAATTAGTTTTAAAGTAACTTAATTCTTAATTGTGTTAATAGAATCAGAGTCATACAGCATGGAAACAGGTCCTTTGGCCCAACTCGTCCATGCTGATTAGGTTTACTAAAGTGAACTAGTCCCAGTTGCCTGTATCTGGTCCATACCCCTCTAAACTTTGCCTATTCATGTACCTGTCCAAATGTCTTTTAAATGTTGCAATTGTACTCACCTCTATGGCTTCATCTGGCAGCTCATTCCATCTATACACCACCTGTGAAAAAGCTGCCCCTCAGATCCCTTTTAAATGTTATGCTCTTACCTTAAACCTATGCCCTCTAGCTTTGAATGCTCTATCCTGGCAAAGACCTTGGCTATTCACTTTATCTAAGCCCTCAATTTTATAAACCTCAAAAAGGTTGCCCCTCAGCCTCCTATGCTCTAGGGAAAAAGGTCCCAGCCTCTCCATATAACTCAAGCCTTCCAATCTCTAACATCCTTGTAAATCTTGTTCATTTTACCTTGGTGTTAAGAATTTGCCAGAGCAGAAAAATTTCTAGTGAAGAACCACAACCCAGAAGCACAAATGTTTTTTATTGCACCAGACTCTTACTGAGAAACCAACACAAGCTGTTGTTTTGCTTGGATAGGTAGGTCTTGAGTATGGACTGTCCTCTATCTTTTTCACATTAGACTGCTTTAAATGTGGGAATACTGCTCATTTGTCTTTATAGATACTTTGAATGCACTAACTGCCTATAGAAAAATATAATAATGATGGTTAACAAGTAACTTTCAGCATGATAAAAGAAGCAGAGAAAAGAATGCTTCTGTGTATCTTAAACAGCAGGGTTGAAATTGATGCAATTTCTTAACAATGCACTTGTCAGACAAGACTTGGGATTGCTGTGTCCTGATCTGGTCACTTCCAATTTATTAATGTGCTTTGGGAAAATATGAACAAATTAAAGAGACAAATCATTCCCCACGCAGAAAGAATCAATGAAGAAAGATTAGAAAAACTCAGATTAGAAAGGCATGAAAAGATGAGTTTGGAAACAGGAACAACCTCACTGAAAACACAATAGTAAGTAGGTATTTAAGGTAGCCTCAAAGCATGATTTCAAAGTAACTCAAGGAAACAGGTAACAGGATACATTAAATTGTCAAAATAAAACATACCAGGTGTACTTCTTTCTTAAAGACAATAAAGCTGCCAAGCAAAATCACAAAAAAAAGGAGAAAGTATGCAAATGAAACAAAGACCAGTACTATGGCACTACATTAATAAGTCCAAAGAATAAACGACTCATATCATTGGTTCATCTTAGATTCTTATAAACTGGAAACAGATTTCAGATTTTTAAGAAAATACAGATATTGTATCAGTGATATTCGTCAGTACCCCACGGCTTTACTTATTTTAAGATATTTATGCACACCAATTATGGCCCTTCAGACCATCAAGACTGCGCCAACATACAATGCTTCTCTAAACTAAAAACTTCTTCTTGTCAATTCATGTATCTGTCAAGATGCCTCAAACATCATTACTGTATACAGCTCAATCAGCACCTCTGGCAATGCATTCCAGGCATTCAGCACTCTAAAAAAAACTTGCCTTTCATATCAAAAAATGTGCAGGTTAGGTGAAGTGGCCATGCTAAAATGCCCCTATAGTATCCAGGGATGTGCAGGCTAGGTGGATTAGCCATGGTAAATGTGGGGGTTGGGTCTGGGTGGGATGATCAGATGATCAGTGCAAACTCAATGGACCAAATGGGCCCTATCTATACAGTGGGGATTCTATGATCTCCTTTAAAGTTACTCCCTTTTACCTTGAATCTACATTCCCTTGTAATTGACATTTACACCCTGGGAAAAAGACTAATTATCCATGCCTCTATTTTGTAAACTTCTATCAGGTTACCCCTCATCCTTCAACATTCAAGTTAAAACAAACCTAGTTTTCCAATCCGTCCTCACAGCTAATACCGCCGAGCCAGGCAACATCCTGGTAAACCGTTTCTGTACCCATAGAAAAGCATCCATATTCTTGTAGTGTGGTAACCGAAGCTATAAACAATATTTGGAATGTGACCTAAATAAAACTGTGCAACATGACTTCCCAGTCTTTATATTCTACGCAGCCCCCGCCCCCACCCCCAAAGTTCGTTATTCTCCAATCCTCTCGGACCACTCCTGTGACTAAAGGAGATCGAAAAATTCCATGCAATTCCCTCATCTGTCTACCTCAGCATTTTGGGATGGATCCGATCAGGTCCTCAGGACTTGTCTTCCTTAACTCTCTTAAAAACACAACACCAACAGCTTTTTGTACAGTGACGTGCCCAAAAATACAACATAGCCCCTCCCGAGACTCACCATCCACCACGTCTTTCTCTTTTGTGAATACCAATGCAAAGTATTTAGTAAGAACTTCACCTCCAGTCCCATAAATTCATTCATATCTTTCAGTGGACCCACCCTTTCCCTAGCTACTCTCTTGATCCTTATACAAGAATAAAACACCTTGGGATTTTCCCTAATCCTGTTTGCTAAAGATACTTCATGGTCCCTTTGAAAACTCCTAATTCCTGAGAGTTTTTTCCTGCTCTCTTTGTATTCTTCGAGGGCTATGCCTTCAATTTCCTAAATATTACATATGTTTTCTTTTTCTTTTTGACTAAGCTCTCAATTTCTCAGATCATCCAAGGTTCCTGAATCTTGCCATACTTATCCTTTATTTTCACAGCAACATGCTGGTCCTGAACTCTGATCAGCTGGCCTTTGAAAGATTTCCACATGCCAGATGTGAATTTACACT